AATTACCGTACGGAGAGCCTCTAATTCCAATACCTAACGTTATCCCTAAAATAATAGTTACTCTTCCTTATTAAGAGTATATTCTATAATTAATACTTTTAGACCTAGACTAAAGGGGAACGTATAGGCCTCTCTTTATATAGACTTAATAGCCTCCTAATATATCTAGTTATTTTATTAAGTCAATCTCTATTATTCTTTAATTAACGGTCCTTCCGTTAATATTATATTTACTTATAGCGCCTTAGATCCCGTTCTATCTAGTATCTCCAGCTTAATAAGGCGCGCTATATAATACTAAAGTCTTTCGTTCTCTTAGTCTTAAGATATATCCTACTCCCTTTAGGAGAGGGTGTCTACTTGAATATTTTACCTTCTAGGGACGTACGAGATCGTAAAGTTATACCTCGATAGGATAAGGGACTAACGTATTTATCTCTTAGTAAGTTTTCGTACGGACATAAAGTATTCGAGATTCTTATAGTTAGACTAAATCTTAAATTTCTTAACGCTTTATAGTTCGGTATCCTATTCCTTTAGGCATTATATAATAGCGAGTATTTCCTTATCGTAGATCTTATAGTTATATTTAGTCGAGTAATTCTTCTTTAAGAAGAAGATATAGGAGCGTATAACTCCCTTATCGTCAACTTAGAAGAGCGTCCCCCTAATATACTATTTTAACGCATTAACTTCTATAATAGTCTCTCTCTCGTAATCGAATAGGATTAATATTAGGGCCATCGTAAATATCCTTTTTAGCCATATAAAGGCTTAGTTTATCTTCGTTATCTATTGAAATATCGTATCCTTCCGTACGAGAGTCATAATAGGAAGTATAATCTTAGAGAAGTCTTATATAAACTTCCTATAGAAGTTTATAAATCTAATAAAGCTTTATACTTCCTTCACTAATTTAGGGACTTCTTAGTTAAGGATCGCCTTTACCTTCTCTAAATCTATTTATACGCCTTTCTCTACTTCGATAATAAACCTTAGGTATTTCATTAACTTAATCTTAAATTCGTACTTATTAATATTAATCTATAGTCCTACCTTACGTAGGCGTTTAAGGACCTTCTAGATATAACTCTAGTACTCTTCTAATAACCTATATAAATAGATTAGGATATCGTTAATATAGGCTAAGTAGAAGACGTTAAGGTAATTACGTAAGGTCTAATTAATATATTTCTAGAACGTATTAGGCGCATTCACTAATCTAAAAGGGATAATAAGCTATTTATATAGTCTATATCTCGTATAGAATATCGTCTTCTATTTATCTTCTTCTATAATGTAAATCTAATAGAATACCGTAATAATATTAAGCTTTATATACTATTTAGCTCGTCTAATATTCCGTAGTATTTCGTAGATTAATAGTAGAGAGTACCGATCCTTCCTTATAATCTTATTTAATCTACGATAGTCTATATAGAATCGTAGTCCTCCCCCTAGCTTCTATACAAAGAGGACTAGTATTACTACTAGTGAGTTACTTACCTAGATAAACCCCTTATTAAGTAGCTCTATAAGTATCTTCTATAGAATAAGTAGTTCTTCTCTTAATATATTATATAGTAGGCCTTAAGGTACCTTAAGAGTTCTCCTATTATCCTATATAAGGTCTATTATATAGTCCACCCTCTTCCCTTAGAGCGGTAGTAGTTTATCTACTATCGTCCTATTAAATATATTAAGGAAGGAGTATAGGTATTCTAATAGCTTTATATAGGGGTCTATTATCTTTTTAACTACTAGAGCTTTATCGATATTAGCTAGACTAATAGCGAACACTTATATACCCTTCTACTTATATTATTATTACGTAAGTAGAGAGAAAGCTACCGTACTTATAAGGCTATAGTTAATCTTTAGGAGGGTCACCTTTAATTCGTTTTATATACGTATCCTCTATAGTCCTAGATATAGATAGGACTCCTTTAGGTAAAGCTATATATTATTCCATTTTATCTAAGGAAGTCCTAATATAATATCGTATAAGACTAAGCTTAGGATAATATATAGGAAGGTAGTTTCCTTATATCTATTAATATCGATCTCTAATTTAGTCACTTTTAAGATTAATAAGTTTATTAATTCATTAAATCCTATAATAGGTTAAGAGAGAATCTATATATACTAAAGATTCTATCGAGAAGTAAAACGAACGTTAATAAGGTCGTATAACGAATACTTAGAATCTATAAGTATAGATATAGAATACTCTTTATTCACTATTAAAGGTACTAAGAAAGATAACTTATTTATTAAGCCTTGAAATCCTCGCTAGACTTCCTAAATCTTCGTACACTCCTAATAGCGACTTTTATTAGGAGCTACTCGTTTTTTAGATCCTCTTTACCCTCTTCTTCTATAGTTATAGCCGTAGTTACCGTACGTCCTACTTAAGGATACATTACTAGGAGTAGGGAGTATTAGTATACGAAGTGTTCTCCTAATCTATATTGAAGATAGCGTCCTACTTCCTTTCGCTTATCTAATATTTCCTTAGACACTTATTAAGTACGCTACGTATATATAACGGCCGCAGTAATAGCGTCTAACGGCTCCCACTCTATTATATCTTCCGCTAGAGTAACCTTAATTAGCGTCGATAAGCCCTTTATTATATGGGGCTTATCCTGTCCCTTCTTTTATTAGAGGTTCTCTAAGTTAGTACTAATAGTATAAAGTAACGTATAGTACTCCTTATAGGACCTAGGGATAGGAGTTACTATAATTATATTCTATAGTTTATATAATAGATAGTTAGCTAGGAAGGTCTTCTTAACCTAGTCGTCCTAGCTAAGACCGTTAGCGTCTAGTATTATACGGTTGAATTCAGTAAGGAACATACTAAATATCTTTATCCCTTACTATATAAAGCTAAGTTTCTAAGATACTCGCTTAGTAACTTTATAGTCTTTATACGCCGTCTATAGTTACGTAAAAAGACCTTAAACTATTATCTAGTCTATTAAAGTGACTATATTTACTTAGGCGCTAACTTACATAAGGGCTTCTCCTCATAGTCTACTATATATATACTAAAATCGTATAATCTTAGTATCCTTATCCTTATTAACACTAAGCTTCGCCTTTACCTATATAAGCTATAGTCGAAATTCTATCCGCTTTCCACTAAACTTAGAGAGTTTAGGGAGTTTCTAATGTTTCTAATCTAATAATTTATGTACGGCTATTAGTTCCCGTACGTTACTATTCTTCTATAATATTAACTCAGGAGTAGAGATACTCCCGCTATTCTACTAGTTCTAGAGTAGCTACTCTAGACCTTCTATTCGCTAGTTCTATATCTAAACTATCTAATATAACTACGCTACCTACTCTAGGGGTAGAGTTAGACCTAATATAGACGATGAATCCATTTCTATTATCAATGCGTACGGAGGAGGTACGAGAAATAGGAGATTTATCCTAATATAAGGGTTTAGAAAGAGTTCTATAACTAGCTAGCTAATCTAGTAATAAGGAGGATAAATCTAAGGAGAGAGAAGGAAGGAATAGCTATCCTTCCTTTCTCCTTATATCCTCTAACGCGCCGTAAGGAGGTAACTATTATCCTCACCTCCTTACTCCTTTCCTTACGTACTTATTCTAGCTCCTTACCTTCCCTTACGTACTTATTCTAACTCCTTACCTTCCCTTACGTACGGTGTCTTAGCTGTTAGGACTTTATATCCCTTACACCGTATGCGTCTTGACTAATCAGGAGGTAGTATTTCGCCTATATATTATATAGGTAAATCTTGACTAATTAGGAGGTAGTATTTCCTAGCGTTGGTCTTGGCGCTAGTTCGCCAGAACCGAGCCTTCTCCTGGGTTCAACCCATCACACTAACTTCTACGAATTAGTATTAGGGCACCGCTCCTTATGGCTCGCTTAGTGCTCTAGCGCGCTCCCTCCACTCTACCGTGGCTCCCCCATACTCGGCCAGGCCTCCTCGATACTCGATCACGTGCTAGATTAAAGCGGCCTCTCTCCCTTTCCTGAACGAAAATGGTAATGGATAAAGTAGAGTTCAGAGTAGTTATAGATAACTTATAAGACTAGTATTAATTTATAGAGATATTTATCTAGTTTCTTTATTTTATGTGGAATATCGCCGTTTAGACGTACGGCCTAACTAGGCCTAGCGTCTTATCACGTGACTAGTTAACGCTACTAGTCTATACTAGATCACGTGATATAGGTGGCATTAAGGGTGGCGTTACTAGTAGTGTGATTTATTACTAATAGCGCTTAGAAATCCAACTACTAGGTGTTTCTAGTGCTATCTAGTAGTGTTTCCATTTGTCTATATAAGAGCGTTCTCTCCTCTCAGATAGTTAACTTAATTAAGCTTCCTAACAGTCACGTACATTACCTAATGGTACGATCCTATGAGCCAATCTAACTATCATACTCTATGTCCTCCGAACACTAAGCAGCTGGGGAGGTAGGCACTAGGAAGAGGCGATATTCTAAAGAATCACGCTATGTTGTAAAACGCTGTACCACCGCGATAGGGATGAGCTCGAAGTGAGATGATAGTATTAAGGGTAGGAGGAGATACTTAAGGTCCGAAAGAGTTATAAACGAGGTAAAAGAGTTGAATTAAAGAGCGAATTTATGTTCTTAATTGAAAAAGTATTAGAGATAGCGCGGGAGGAGGAAGTAGGGCGACCGGTAAGAAGGCTACGCCGACGACTACGTCGGCGAGTTATTATTAAAAGCGACTCCAAGGACGGGATAAGGTATTAGACTCCTTATCTAGCTCTTACGATGATGGAATTTCAGTCGTGGTGCCTCGTTAGAGAGTTTCATAATACAGGGGGTAGGATTTAGTACGTAATTAGACCATATGCGTCATTAGACCATACGGCACTCTATATATATATATATATATATATCTGTCACGCTCAGGGACTACTTCGTCATGGAATCTTGATCTAACCTGGCTGTCCTCCAATTCATGTGGCTGATGACTAGTCATTATTATTGCTTCTAGTGGTCAACGGTCCGAGATTTTGAGTGGCTGGATAGAATCTCCCTGCACGCGGGTCAGGACTGCAGAAAGTCCCAGGTGGCCGCGGCATGGACCTTCGTAACGTGTAGAAAGTCGCTGATGAGCACACATTCGTCCGCCTGAGCCACTGTTTGTCGTCAGCGCGTGCCCGTCAGAACCGTGGCAATCCACAGGGGCAGTAGGAAGTGAGCAAGAGAGGGGCCCGGGGGGGCAGAAACTTACTGGTGTTCGGGCTGCATCCATAGACGTAGGCCGGGATTCCTCGATAGCGGTAGTGTTTGCAGTCGGTGGCGCCGATCGACGGAATGGGGACCGGTCGAGGTCGATCCGACTCCGGAGCCACGAGCGCGGCGTTCTCGGCCAGGAGGCCGACCATGGGGTGATCAGGGGGCGAGAAACTGGACGGGTTGCTGTGGGCCTCGTGCACGGCCAGGTCGATCTTCGTTTCCTGATACTTGGAGATGATGGCTCTCATGCGTTCGAGAACAGGCTCTCGCGTGAGGCCGGCGGGCAGTCGAATGTCGAGTTCGGAAACACAGATCTCCGGGATCATGTTGACCTTGAGACCGCCCCTGATGGTTCCGATATTGACGGTCGGTCGACCGAGAATGGCGTGCGTGCCGGCCCCCATGATCTCGTTGGCGACGGTTTGGACCTCGTGCTTCTCAAGCTGCTCCAACAACGCCGCAGGCATGTTCACCGGCATGCTCTCGATCTCCTCGACCACCTCCTTGATGAAGTAGGCCGAGGTGCGGACAGCCCCCTTGCTGATGTTGGTAAAGGCGCCGTGAGCCCCCTTGGTCTGCACCGTGCACGTCAAGCGTAAAGTGCCCTTCTCCGCAAACCGGATGCTGCTGCGACCACCTGGCTCGGCGCTCAGCATCACATCGCCTCCCCAGCGTCGGCCATCCTGCTCGAGCAACCACCTGGTGCCCCATTTGCCCCCGGTTTCCTCGTCGGACACGGCGCAGAAGGCGACGCTACCACGCAGCATTTCGCGCCGGTGGTAAAGGCTGGCATACGCAATGAGCAGTGACGCCGTCCCTGACTTCATATCCACGACGCCCCGGCCATGGATTTTGCCATCTTCAATGTCACCCGACCAGGGGTCTCGAGACCATCCGTGGGCGTCGCCCACCGGAAACACGTCGATATGGCCATTGAGCACAACTCGTGGGCCTTCTCCTCGGCCGCCCTGGAAGTCACTCACAATGTTGGGACAGTCGGCTTGCGGAGTTAGGGCTTGGTAGGGAATCCCTTGCGACTCGAGATAGGAAGTGAGCACCGCGGAAGCGGCCGCCGTCGAGCCTGGTGGGTTGGGCGACGGCGCTCGCACAAATTCTTGGAGCATGCGGATTTGAGCCTCTTTGTCGGCATCCAGAGCCTGAAGCAGGAGTTGTTTGGCATCCATCTCGGCCACGGCAAATTCTATTTTTCGAGTCTCCTGTGATTACCAAGACCTCGAAATGGGTGGCGTCGGCGTGTCTGTATCGGAGAGTTGTACGTATCTACACTCCCTCTCGGGTTACGTTCTCGCTTGGCTTAAAAAGAATACGTATAGATGAGTATGAGTCACAAACCGAGGGCGTAAGACCTTCAAGGTTAGGATTGACTGTGAATTTCGACTCTGCGGATGAAGGCGCCCAATTGAGCCCCAGAGTCTTAGTGCCATCGGGGGAGAGCGACAGCGCGTTCTCCCATGCGGCTGGGTGGAGTGTCGAGTCCCTCCAGTCGACGAAGAGGGTAGGCCATCCCTAGACAAACTCACAGACTCATACGACCAGCTCTTGGGCTTTGAAATCTCGGGCCACGAGAGAGTTCGAACTTGATGGACGCCGGTGGTGTGGCCTCGATACGAGTGCATCCCACTTCCGCTCTCTGGTTCAGCCTTGGACCTTTCACGGCACCACAATCTGGGGCGTGAAAACCCGCGCTTCCACATCGCTGTATCATGGGGGCTTGTCGCCAAACGGACTCAATGCACGGGGACCATCATTCAAGGGGTATGCCTTGTTTTCCGATGGTACAAGACATGGGCTGTGTGTATATATATATGCACGTCTTTTCTCGACGCCACATCACGGGTGCTTCTCTTTTCTGCAGAGAGAGCCGCAATGTCTACCACCAAGAACCATCATATGCTGAACAAGCAAGGAAATCCGGCGCCTCTCGGGCCAGATGACATGGAAATCTCGACCAAGACTGACACGAAACTATCTCAGATTGTGGAAGGGGAGACGATTGAGGGTGAGATTCTCCCAATGTACCCCCTTGGTCGCAAACACATTGCCTTATAATAACCACTGCTCAACGCTGGTGAGAATGTTACTGACGACTATCTATTCCCCCCAGTGTCGCAGCCTGACGAGCCTGACATCAAGCGACTTGTACGCAAAATCGATAAGCGCATCATACCGCTGCTGTGGGTGACATATGGTATTCAACTGATCGATAAGTCTGGCATTGGCACCTACGCTACCTTCGGCCTCAGGAGCGACCTTCATTTGGTCGGCCAGCAGTACGCTTGGCTGACCACCGCGTTCTATCTGTCCTACATGGTCTTCCAGCTACCCTTGACAACCATGATCCAGCGCCTGCCCATGGGCCGCACTCTGTCCATTCTCATCATCCTCTGGGGTGTGGTGACCATCTGCGTCGGCTTCGCACAGAACTTCGCTCAGATTTTGGCCATGCGCATCTTGCTGGGGATGCTGGAGAGCTGCGTCAGCAGTGGCTTCATCCTGACCATCGGAAGTTGGTACACGACGCGTGAGCACGCCTCGCGCTCCTTGGCCTTCACGACCGGGGATTCGGGCGTGCTCATCCTCGCCAATTTCATCATGTACGGCTTTGGCTCCATTACCTTCTCACATCCGGACCTGGAGGTGTGGCGGTACATGGCATATGTCAGCAAGCCCACGCTGCCCAACTTTGGCTCTAGAACCGATTTGCTGATTTGTGACAACAACACAGTTCTTCGGCGGCCTCACCGTTGGTCTCGGTGTCACCGGTCTATTCCTCCTCGGCACCCCGTCCGAGGTGCGATGGCTGACTACGGCGGAGAAGGAGCTTGCCATCTCGCGCATCCTTTCCAACCAGACCGGCCACGATGAGACCGGCAAACAGTGGAATTGGAAGCAGACCTGGGAGGCTGTCACTGACCCGGTGGTAAGAATTCGTTAGCCCGCAGAAGTTTCATTTCCATCTCGAGTTAAAGGAAATGTAGCTCGTTAAGACTAATTTTCGACAGCTGTACTTCCATTCCTTCAATGCCTTCCTAAGTGCTGTCCCAAATGGGGGTCTGACGGCTTTTGGCTCTCTCATCAACGTCAGCTTGGGTTTCAGTAAGTGGTCCCCCGAGCGTGAAAACGGTCCACGCAAAGAACACAAAACATGCGCTTTGCTGCTGATGATTTTGGGACGACCAGGTAATCTCCAGACCATCCTGCTCGGCATTCCGCGATACAGCCTGATCGTCATCCTCCTCGGGCTCGTGGCGTTTGTCACCACCAAGGTCCCCGGCATGAGACTCTATTGCATAATGGCCGCCACGGTGTCGCCCTTCTGCGGTCTCATGCTGATGTCCCTGCTTCCGCAGAGCGACGCATACCAATGGCCGCGGTGGGGCGGGTACTTCATGACGCTCACCTTCACCATCGCCTTCTACGTCTCCTGGACGCTGCTGCCGTCCAACATTGCGGGCCGCACCAAGCGGACTCTCGTCGCCTCGGGCACGTTTGTGGGGTATTGCGTCGGCAACATCGTGGGCTCGCAGATCTTCCGCGCCGGGGATGGGCCCCGCTACATCCACGGCACCATCGGCTGCGCGGTATGCATTGGCGCTCAACTCGTCAACGCGGCGGTCTGGCGAACAACCCTTGCGCTGCGCAATCGTCGACGGATGAGGCACATACACGAGCTGGCCATCTCCGACGACGAGCGAGTATCACGCGGCAAAGAGCTCGGTGAACAAGACTGCACAGACAAGGAGAATCCATACGTAAGCCCCACCCCCCCCCGGGGAACACAACGTTGCACGAGGAGGGAGTTATACTAAAGCATCACAGTTCTTGTACACGCTTTGACTGGGGTTGGTCTTGTAGATGAGGCATTCCAGGCCTTTTGCTCGAGCTGGAGTGAAATGGCTGGTATCGAAACATGGACGCTGCAAAAGTGAAAGGTCTCGACAACAGAGGCTCCAACGAGTTAAACTTTGCAATTGTATTCACTGGCTTTTTCCCAGATATACATATATATACACGTGATCAGTCAAATGTCAACCATACTTCACGCTGCCATGCCACGCTTGATGAGCTCTTTGTTCAATCGTTGGAACAGCTCCGTATACACATCCAGAAGGCCGGACATTCCCGGCCAGCGATCGGCGCACCAACGCAGTAGCATCAAGCAAACGGGCGACATGTCGATGAAGGAGCCATAGTCAAGGATCTGCTGCGGAGTCTGGTGCGGGTCTACACCTTCGACCGGCGTGCCCTCTTCATGCCACCGACGAAAGCACCACACCTTGCGTACTCGTCCGTCCAGAGCAATCAGGACGTGGCCCACAAGCGTGCTGGCCGCCAGCCACATGTACTGTGCAGACAGAAAGGTGAGCGGGTATGAGCCTAGTAGAGACCCGTCGTGTGCTCGGATTAGACGCTGGTACGCATGTAGTAGCTCACATGCCGCCCAAAAGCTATCCGCTACGATGATACATTCCTCGGGCGACACGTCACCTGGACGGGTCTGTCCCTGTGTGGTGGCGCCCGAGTCGAGCCCGCCACTTTCCACTTGTGTACTCCGAAGGGCTTGGAGCAATAAAGGCTGAAAAAGAAAGCAGATTGTCTGGTTGTAGCCTTGGACACAGGTTATGGTCGAGAAGCCGGCAAAATCATCGCTCACAGCCAGGTCGCGGCGCCACGCCCGGATCGCGGCATATTGTTCGCATAGCCATGGCGCCTCCATCACGAATGCAGGCGTGACGGAGGGCACATACATGGCACGGTAAATCATGGAGCGAAGATAGACCAGTCGATAGTGATGGACGAACGCTACAGCCTGTAAATGTGTCTGCTCGGTATCCTGAAGCGCTTCACCTTCAGCAAGATTGCCTTGGCACACGCCACTATTGGCACTGTTTGTGCAAGGGGCAAAGGGCATGTTGGAGGCAGGCAATGATGGTCCTGAAGATATTGTAGACATCTCAGGCGTACAGGCTGTTGGGTAGCTGACGGTAATTATGGATTCTGGAAGGTCGGATGCTCGCCCAAACATTTGACCCATGATGCGCTCGAGAGCATAAAGTGCCCAAAATGTCAAGTGCCGTGGCTGCCGACGTAGGTTGGAAGTGGCTATATTTGCAGGAGGGATTGCTGAAGCAGTTTCGCTTTCCACCGATGTGTTTTGTGCATGGAGATCGTCTTTATGGTATCCAAGTTCCAGGGCTAGACGACAAGCATAGTCGAGGAGCCGCCAGATTTCCCCTTTGCGTGGATAGAAGAGACAAAATATGATCAGTAGCAGCAAGGCTTGGAGTGACGCAGGCGATGCCTCAGACGTTACTTCCTCGACACAGCCTAGCGCGTCTTTGTAATATGCCAGACTCTCAGCGACGCGAGAAGGGCGATGACGCGCTTGCGTGGCACATGCTGCCGCACACATAAGCGAGATGCGGAAGAACCGGTGAGCTGTGTCGGATTTAAGGGTTTTGCTCGAAAATTGAACCCGACTTCGTACTTCTAGATAGTCTTGCAGGTCATCGAAGACGGTGGTTTCGTCGACAAGCACATAAATGGTGTTGAGTGTGCGCATGTAGAAGCTGACAAGCTGTGATACGTCTGCCTCAGGTGCAGGTGCCATCTCCCGGTCTAGAATATCAATATCAGGCGGGTCAGGTCTACATGACTCTGAGAATGCGTCTATTGGCTTCGACAACTTCTTTAGACTCGCGTGTTGCAAAATCTGAACGACAGGTGCAAATACAGAGCTGGCACCCCAATACCGAGTCTTTGGCTCCGGTGCCATGAATGGGATGATGACATCGAAAGAGAAGTGACCCGAGTCTGACGGTGGCTGGTTGGATATTGGATCTGGCAGAATGGTCTCGATGGGTTCTGAAGAGAAGGAACCGTCTATGGGATGATTGTTGGTGGCGCTGTTAGAGGGCTGCTGTGCAGCGGTTTGCAGCCTTTCAAGCCGAGCCAATAGTGATTGGATGTGGCTGTAGTTGCAATTTAGCTGCTATTTGCTGCTCCGATAGGATGGCCAGGAGGAAATGATCAGGGAGCTCCTCACCTTCGCGAGATGACCTGTCCCGACGCATCATCAATGAAGTCACAATCCTGGTCAGCCTTCTCACACCTTCGACAGCGCGGCAAATGTGTGTCGCATCTCTTTCGCAGGCGCCGACAGCGGCGGCATGATGGAAGGTGCCGTTGAACAGTCTCGGGATTCATCGCTGGGGCGACTACGCCGCTGCGCAAGATTACTCCATAGAATTGGATGAAAGAATGAGCGGCGTTGGAGGTTGCAGCAGAATAATGACGATAAGACGAACTTTTGTCTGACGGGTTGATTTGTGACTCTCGACCGCCCCTGGAAGGAGGCCCACAACCGTGTCTAAGGATGAAGTGACGATTGGAAGTCTAAATCGACCCCGTGTGCGCGCGGAAAGGCTCGCGAAGCTACTATATGCTACACTATATGCTACATATTCAGAAGATCGCTTGGATGCTTCAGATTCTACCAGTTCTCCACCACATCACAATCTCGTCGATAATATGTCCGGTGTAGTGGGACGCCGACCCCTTATCTCCTTTGGTTTGACAATCACTCCCAGTCATTGCATATAGATACAATGATTTGTGCCACAGCTGGGTCGCAAGGATGGACTTCTACGCATAGAATATCTGAGAGTCAGTGGCTGTCCTGTTTACTACAGCATGGTGTCAAGAGAGCATATCTGCACGGCCGATGCGATTGCTTACACGCTTGCCAACCATATTCTTTGTGACGTTGTCTGCGCATCGAAAGATTCTCCCTTCGACGAAAAATTACAGCTCAGATGGGCACCAAACAAGCGGAGTAGTTTTCAAGAAGAGAATTTCATGGATACACCAATTACCTCAGAGAGTCTGTAACTCGCCATGACAGGTCTAGAAGTTCTCATGAGGATCATACGCAGTGAAAGTGGACCCAAAGTCGAGCGCTTCAGCGTTGTCCGGCAAGGTCCACTGTGAGCTGTCATATATTCCAGTTTCGTGATCAAAGGTAGGCTCGGCCAGTGATTCAAAGTCAAAAAGTTGCCAGGAAGTGTCCCAGATATCGAAATCAGGTTGCCATTCACCTTGCTCTTGATGTATATCGTGACCCAAGCGCAACTTTTCCAGCTGTGCCGGACTTGGATACAGCAGACGAAGCAGTTCTGCATCCTGCGCCGGAGAAAAGCATGATACCGCCGTCGGGGACAAGACAGGCTCGAGGAGGGTGCCAAGGAGGCGCTCGTAGATACCTGCGTAAGCAGAGACTTCTGGCCAGCCTTGGCCCGCGATCAACATAAAGTTAACCGTAAGCACCTTGGTCATGTCCAAGACATTGTGAGGAGCAAACTTCGCTCGGATAGCGTCGCATCCATGTCGTAGACAAAAGAGCACCACCATGGCGGCCTCGAGCGTGTAATGTGCTGATATCCACAGTCGCCGCAGGGAGCCAGAGGCGATTTGCTCGCGGTATGCTCCAGCTGCGGTGCAAGCAGCCTCAAAAGACACCAGGAGACTCGCTTCTGACGGTCTCGGCACCCTCGGCGAGGGTCGGTGCAAAATCATGAGCCCTCTAGAGAGTGCGAAATCAGGCGACTCAACCAATCCCGTAGTGTTGAGGCTCTGTGAGTGCCACTGTCTCAGTCTACGCTCCATATCGGTCAGCCAGCCGTCCCAGTCGAGTTGCTGAGGCAGAGGCTCTCCCTGGAAATGAATCTGCGTCATTTCCGAGAGCAACTGGTGATATTGAATTGAGCTGAGAAAGGCGACTGAGGCGCCAGTTTGGGGTAGCTGCGTATCGATGGTTGCATCAAGGGTAGTCAACGGTCTCTGGAGCGAGGAGCAAATGCTGCGATCAATGCAGTACGCCGTCCAGAACACCAAACGACGCGTCTCGTTATCGTCAAGTCCATCAAACCCCATAATACCCACAGGTAGCTCACGGTGGAGGCCAAGTTCGATGCAGGCGCGCATGGCGACGCCAGAGAGCACCCATACGTTGGCAGATCGTGGCACAATGGTTGCGTACAGGGTAGCGAGGAGGATCGCTTGAACCCAAGTAACGTCAGAAGGGCAGCTGCTGAGACTGCTGAAGTGAGCAGCGCCTTCGATGAATAATGATGCCGACAGAGACATGCAACGAGTTTCGTGCACAGCATTAACGGTGTCGACGGTCAGCGCAATAGCTAGCACCAGATATGCTATGAGGAAGTGGTGCGAGGGGTCCACAAGGCCAGTAATCCCGCGTTCATGGTTCTCATGCTGCTCCGATGGCCAACCAAGACTAAGCCCAACGGCTTCAATGTGTCGGCGAAGTGCATCAGTATCGATTAGTGGATAGTGCGGCTGGAAGGCTGAGATATACTTGCGTACGAGTCCGCGTACGATTTCAGGCGGCATACGAGCAAGGGCGCTTGCACTGACCTTGACGCCGTCGTTTCTGTGCGTTGCGACAGGACTGGTTCCTCGTTGGCCGATCTGAGACAGCGAGGGCGTCATACCCAGGCGGACTCGCATCAGCAAGTCGGTCGCGCCTGAGACACTAGGCATATACGCCGAAACCAGCGATTGCATGACAGAGCTTGATAGAATTTCCACACGTGAGAGCTCATTGTTGTCGAGCAACGCAGATTGTGTTGTTGCTGGACGAGCAGCATTTTCAATCTCATCGCCAGGCTGGCTTCCCGGGCCATACGACTCATCCTGTCCACAGACATCCTGGACCACAGAAGATGATTCTAGCCGGGGCTCTGGCGCATTGACTTCGTCCAGGCTCCTCCTCCTCGCCAAGTCGGCCTCTAGCTGAGCAATTTGCTGCTCGAGGGAGAACAGGAAGCTGCGTGGGAGCTCATCAGCGCTCTGGGAAACTCCTGTACAGGGTTTCCCGTTTCGTTGACAAGGCGAACACGATGGCAATCGCCGGTCGCACTACATAGCTGTCAGCTGGCTCGTTACTTTCACCGAATCCGTTGCTGCCCCCATCTTGGGCCTTTGCCTTGCCGCTCTCGGCAAGCTGTGCTTTGAGGAGACGAACCTTGATCTTACGGCGTCTGCAGCGCGCACATGACCGAATAACTCTCTGGCAAGACGAATTCATGGGTGGCAATGACCGAGGAGCCCACAAAGATACGTGAGCCAGACAAGACTCAAAAGGTGGGAGGCTTCGCGGTTTCGGCTTTCAGCGTCTCAGGCCTGTGGACATATCTGTATGGTCACCTGTAATGACGCCAAGAAAGTCGCGCCGCACGGAGAGACGCGCTTCATCAAATTGAACGACTGACGGGTCACCGCGACACTTCTTTGCCAGAGACCCCCTCCCTGACTTTGGTCAACTTATACGCCATAGCTCGGCTCATAACGATCTATGGGCATGGATGGTCCCAGCCGGAGCCTTGATATCGTCGGCTGGTCAGCCGGCCGGTCGTCACACGTTGGATATAGTCTGCCGATATTTCCGCAGGCTGTGTGTGATGAACCCAGCTCAACCAGTGCCGCTGTCGAATATGGCGTGAAGTACTCACGATGCAGAAACAACTCCATCCTCTAGATCCGTTGAGGCCAGAGGAAATCTCGCGGGTACGTCGAGATCAGTCTCTATTCTGCTACGAGTCTGACGAGTGGTCGAGCAGGCCTCGCAAATCCTCCGGCAATCTCAACCAAATGAGCACATTGTTTTCAGGGTCATTACTCTGCAGGAGCCGGCCAAGTCGGTACTGCTTCCGTACCTGGAAGCAGAGCACCTTCACCAACCTCTGCCACAGCGTCCACGCCGAGAAGCAATGGTGCAATTCTTTTCGGGCTCATCTGAGAACTTTTACCAAGTCATCATTGATTTGGATCGTGCCAGCATCGTTTCTGGGAAGGATCTCCGGGGCTATCACTCGTATACCGATTTTGAAGAGCAAACTCGTCTAGAGCAGTTGTGCCTATTCGATGATCGGATCTTGAAAGTGATTGAGAAACTTGCGTTGCCTGAGGGCGCCGTCATTAATGTTGAACCTTGGACGTATGCACCCGACGGGGTCGAGGATGCCATGCAGAGATTGACTATGGTACCAGTGATGTCCCTGATATCTTTTGAGAAGCGCTGATATGTATTCTGCAGTGTTACTTCTACATGAGCCTTTCTTCCAACGCTGATTCAAACCACTTTATGTATCCTCTCGATTTCTGCGCCGAAGTATCTGACGATGGGATCAAGAAGATTTTCAAACTGCCTGGCACTGCCGAGGAGCGAGTGCAAGAACTCCGAGTCGAGGATATCAGGAGATTTGATCGCCGGAAGATCCATTCAGGCAGCGAGTACCATCCTGCCCTGAAACAAGACCACCGGACCTCAACCAAACCATACCAAGTTTGGCAACCAAAAGGACCTTCATTCCGCGTGCAAGGTCAAGTGGTTGAGTGGGAAAAATGGCGCTTCAGGGTGGGCTTCAATTATCGAGAAGGACTTACATTACACGACATTACTTATGACAGCAGACGTCTGTTTTACCGATTATCTCTGTCGGAGATGTTCGTACCTTACGGTGATAGTCGAGCGCCGTATCCTCGAAAGGCGGCTTTCGATCTCGGCAATAATGGCGCTGGTATGAGTGCTAACAATCTAAAACTTGGTGGGGGTTTCAAAGTCACACAGCTGTGGAATTGCTTACTGACTGGGTCACGCAGGTTGTGACTGTCTGGGGCACATCAAGTACTTCGACGCCTACCATAACACTCTAAAGGGACAGCCAGTCGTTCTGCCAAATGTCGTATGCTGCCACGAAATCGATGATGGCATTCTCTGGAAGCATACCAACTATCGTACACAGAATGCGGTTGTCACCAGGTCGAGGGTTCTTGTCTTACAGACCATCATCACTGTGGCGAATTACGAATATATTTTCGCATTCCACTTCACTCAGGCGGCGAGCGTACGCTATGAAGTCCGCGCAACAGGCATTCTCTCCACCGCGCCAATTGAATTGAACGAACAAGTCCCTTACGGCAAGGTGGTCGCTCCTGGTGTCATGGCACCCTACCACCAGCATTTGTTTTCACTTCGTATTGATCCGTGGCTTGATGGCCAGAAAAACTCATTTGCTGTTTCCGAGTCAGTTCCCATGGCCCTAGATCCACACACCAACCCCTTCGGCGTCGGCTACACGACACGTTGCGACATTATCGAATCCGAGTCAGCCCATGACCTCGACATCACAAAAGCACGCACATTCCGCATCATCAATGAGAACTCAATCAATCCCATCTCGGGCCGACCTGTGGGTTACGACATCGTGCCCAGCCCGGCCCAAATGCTGCTGGCGCACCCGTCCTCGTTCCACAGCAGACGCTCTGAATTCGCAGATCACGCCTTCTGGGTGACTCGCCATCATGATGGAGAGCTCTTCGCCGCTGGAGATCATACCATGCAATCTCAAGGAGGTCAGGGCATCGCATCATGGATCAAAGGAGAGAGGTCAGCGGGGCCTGCAGGGCAGCTATATCATCGTCCAGGGCCCCTCAGCGTACGAGATGATGATATCGTGGTGTGGCACACCTTCGGCACCACCCACAATCCACGGGTCGAGGATTGGCCGGTCATGCCAGAGGAGCGCATGACGGTCACTCTGAAGCCGAACGACTTCTTCGAGCGCAACCCCAGTCTCGACGTGCAACCGAGCCGACAAGAAGACAACAAGAGCGTATTGGTGGTGGAAGACTCTGAATGTTGTGCAGACGCTCTGAAGTTTCGCTTGGGCGAAGGAAAGCTATAACAACTGTCGATTTTTCCATTGTCATAATTTCATCATAGAGGACCGGCAAATATGAACGCCTCCATCCACGTCGTAGCCCGGCAATGAGGGCCTGTGTCACGGCTGGCGGACCTTTATCTACTATAGTGCCTAAGAATCTGCCACTACTGGCGAGATATTCCGTCTTTTTGGCCGTAAGGCAGGGAGGGAATCGAGGCACTTATCCTGACAGCCTGGCTTCGCACGTTCCGCCAGGCCAACTTTGCACGCCCCTTGACGTAGCCAAAGCGGCGTGGTATCTCGCGAGTCCGCGCTGCTTGCAATGGAGGGATGTTCCGGGGGAGCCCGCTTCGGATCGACTCAAAGAGGACTTGCACGGTGTACCTAGACCGAGAAATGTACGAGGTATAGCGAGGAGTTCAAGGTCTTGGTGACACATTGCGGACCGAAACCCACGCGTGCTATCGGCATAAATAGGGCCCATCTCGCACTTGGTCTACTTGTTGTCCCTGTGTTGTCCCTGTGTTATCCCTGTACACGCACCAGACTATGCACGCACAAAAGGCCACTCGCGCCTATGCAGCTCGGGACATTACGCCATTAAGGAAGGGCCTTTCAGTGACTTCCTCCTCTGTCTCCTTGTCAAATAAAACGAAAGGCCAAGCGAATACAGCTCGATCTCTGGGAATTTTCTCGCATTGCTCAAAGAAACTCTTGGTGGCTGATTCGAAACAGCCAAGGTCGCTAATTTACATTGTGTAAGATCCTGTACTCTCCCAATTGAGAGATGTCTCTTTGCCCACTTGGACCTAGGGGAGGAAACCCAATCCATGGGACTTTGAATGTTGTTACATTGATTGACATGCCCTACACCACTTGTGACTCAGTTACTCCAGTATGCGCTTTCGGTCTCTGAGAAGTCCCACAAGATAAGAAGAGAAGGAATGATAGACCTAATCCTGCCAGGAGATATCACCAGAACACCGCCGCTGAAAGTACAAAGGAAAGGAAGAAAGGGGGATATTTTGAATGGCTCACTGTACACAAAAGCACATCAGACCATTAGCGCGATCTCAAGCATGACAAGAGGTATTCCGCAGAGCTGGGCAGGTGAGGGCTGGCAAAGGCCAGGATGCACACGTCGGTAATGCAGCCCAAAACAAAGACGCGCAAGAGAACGTTGGGGATGAACATGCTGGCCATGTGTCCTGAGACCATGAGGGTTGCGAACTTGAACAAAGAGGCCGACCTGGGCGGCGCAGGTGGGACTGTGACGATGTTGGTGGTCTCGCTGAAGATAGAAAAGGTGGGCGAAGGCATGCCGGGGGATGGCAGGCCAGGCGATGGAGGACCGTGGGATTGGAGTGCTGGAGAAAGGAGCTTAGCTGACGGCAGTGGGTGAAACGACCTATTCCGGGGAGGTATCGAAGTCTCATCCGCGACAACTTCTGGGAGAACTTCGTTGACGAGCGGGCTCCGTGCAAGGTTTTGCATCGACCAAGTGTCTTGCACGCCCAGAGAGAGCGATCTATTCCGTGACATCAGGGTTTCCTTGCGAAGGACAGAGCTCACCGTTGACTTTACGTCAGATAGCTCGCTCCGACAGGACACAGTGGATGCACTGAAGTCGTTCCTGAGCACTTGTATTTGCCGCTGCAGGTCGTGGATCTCATCCATGGCGTGGTTGAGTCGTTTCTGCCACACCAGTTCACTGCACTGTGCGTATGCTGGTGGAGGGGTTGAGTACTGCCCCCAATTCAACAGTAATTGTTTCCTCTGGACAGCAGAAGTTGGCGTGCTGCCGTGTGGTCTGGGTGGCATGGTTGGATAGTTCAGGTTCGCAAATGTTAGATCAGTGACCATTGGACTGCCCCAGCTCGCAGTGCTACTGCTGACGGGCGTGAACTCGTCGTCTTCGAACCGCCAAGGAATGTTTTCGAAAGTGGTCTTCAGAGATTTGATCAGCAAATCATTTGGACATGCGGTGTCGAGAGTCAGCCGGGTTGCGCGCGGAGTTGGAGGTGGCGTGTCTTCCTTGACACGCAAACGCTCCAGAGCGGATTTGACCACAGGAAGCAAATGAGTAACACCCCATTTACCGATGGAATCAATCCAGACGAGGAAGCTGCTGAAGTGATCATCCCTGCTGAGATCAAACTTGCATAGTGGCGACATGCAATAAACTTGACCATGGTCAATCCAGTGCATGTTCAGAATTGCAACTGTGTTGTCGATCGAACAGGAGAAAGCGATGGGTAATTCTGGCATCATCTGTCCTTTCCAAGCTTTGGCATACAACATCTGAAGAGCCCTGACACACCATGCACCGCCGATAGCACATTGATTATTAGCAGCCTCGAGACGATGCTCCTTGTTGCCCCATGCGCGCTCAAAGACCATGAAGGGGCAATACAGAGCGGCGCCGGGCGAGATGTACCCTGTTTCAAAATGAACAATAGTCCCTGTCGTCACCAACCACGAAGGTAGGACGGCTAGCTCCATTTTTGTGAAGGCCGAGCGGGCAAATCCACACCCGAGACCACTGCGCGGGATGCTGAGCTCGTACAGCGGGCCCAGCTGATTGATAGCACGCTCGGGGAGTGCCTCCCTGCTGAAACAAGGGACCATGCAGCGAGCAAGTCGGGGTTCATCATCGATAGGTGGTAGCAGGTTGGGAGGGAAGAGGGGTGAAGGCCCAAATCCTCGGCCATTGACGACTTGTTCGCGAAATTGCTCCTTCTGCGGTTCATACTTGGCGACATCATGTAGCTCGGATTCGATCGCCGCCAGGAGCTTTGTAGGTAGTTTTTCCTTTGATGCAGAGTCCATGACTCTGATGCGATGCTGTGCAAGCACTTGTTGACGAAACAACTTCCATGGTAGGTGGCTTCCGTCGTAGGAACAAGGGGGAAGGTCATCTTCCGTGGAAAGAGCAGTCGCACCACTGCTGGCTGACATGCTTGCCCAGGGTTTGTGAGAAAGAGAGTTTGGGGGAGCAGGGCGTCTGGATGGTAGAATGCGAACAGGGCCTTGGTGTAGGTCAAAGACCCCAGACAGTGGCGATGGAAGAAGACCTGATGCAGCGTTGGGGAGCGCGGATGGGCTTTAAGGGCTGGCCTCCGGACCAGCCATCAGCCGACTGCGAATGCATGCGTGTGAAATACTCGAAAGCGCCCAGGTGATAGAGAAAATTCGTCCAGCAAAAGTGAAACAAGCATACCCCCCTACATCGGGCTTTCTCCCTAGCAGAGGCTGCAGTAACAAAGGAGGCTGGTGGCTGAACCTTGCGTCTGTAGGCACGTGCTGTGCATATTTGCTCGAGCTTATGGTCCATTGGCGGGGGAATCTGCCCGGAATTGCAAGTCCCAACGAGAGTATGTGCGGAGAGACGACAGGTCATCAGGTCGTCGGCCTCCAGATACGCTGGTATTCTCCTGAAGACCAGGTGGTGCAGTGGAGAGAGGTGAAGCGGCAAGAGATCAGGCTCCGCCCATCGGGTGACTGCTGTTGTTCACCACTCACTATGAAGCCAGGCTGGGCCATGTCAGGTGTCCATGTGCCTTAGACGAGGATATGCAAGCAAGTCAAGCTGAGCTTCGGTGTGACTGAGCTGAAACGTGGCTGGCGCGTAATGCTGGTAGTTTGTTCGCGAGGGATGTGGTCGATATTAAGGTCAAGCAAAGCACCACCCACCGCCTCCCCGGGCGCTTAGAGAGCCACCAGTCATACGACGACAATTCATGCAGAATCCTCTTATCACACCGCAAGCGAGACATCCATCTGCAGGTCGCTGAAGACGGGAGCTGCAGTCGGAAGGGAAATAGCACATCATGCCCAGCCCTTTCTTCTAAATTGAGTTGTTCGGCGCCATGAGGCGAGCCGGGGAGAGGATACCAGTGGATGCTAAGATGCACCCACTGTGTTCTTCCAAAGGATGGCCAGTGCGCTCATCCTCTACCCAGGTCTGCACGTCACTTAGCCAATCTAACCCTTGACGTCCCAGATGTTCTGGTTGCATCACTAGCCTCAGCCTCGTCCTCCGTCCTTCCCCAGCTTCCCACCCCCGTCACACAGGAAAACACCTGTACGCAACTGCCTGCAACTCGAGGAGTCGGTCCCTCTTCACCTCCTGGCGGCAATGCGAGGAGTCCTTCAGACTTGTCGGGAAGTGCCTGCCCCCCGAAAGCCTCATCACATCACGCCCGACTGGTATCAGGGAAGGGTGCAGGTTACACTAAGCCTCGACAAGGCCAGATGTGTTGTTCATGGAATAAATCAGCTTTTGCACAAAGTCGTCGTACTCGTTAAGCGCTATCCAAATTCCTCCGCCATTTCCAATCCGATTAGACCAGTCCTGACTCCAGACAAATGCAATGCCTCCTCCAGACCCGACTAGAATGCCCTAGCCCACCGGGGCAAGCTTTCCGCTATGACGCCTTTGATGATGCTTGCACGGCTTCTGGGGGGATTTTTGAAGTTGGAAAGCTCGGGTGGGTCATATGGCACCCTGTTCTGGGCCATGTTGTCTCTGCACAGCTTCACACGCTTGTCAAACGCGCTCAACAGGTCGCTGATGGACTGCAGCCTGCAATTTTCTGCCCATACCAGGATGCTGCTGATCCGACCAGCCATGGATTCGACGTCTTTGTCGTTGTCAAGCCGATATGTTCTAATCACCGCCACAGCGTGAGGCAAGCAGCCTTCCGAGTTGTGGGTGTTGAGGCAAGCTGTCTTGCCGTTGATGGAGAGGGAAAAGGACTGCGCAGCTTTGCTCAAGCGCCAGAGGAAATTCATGTCACTATAGTACCTCTGCGGCTCCTCGGCAACCCCAGCGAAGATCATCAATGCGTTGTTGCATGTCGCTGTCGACCCAGCGGAGGCGTTTCGAGCAGCGAGCATTGATTCATCCTGCGCTTCCACAATGAAAAATGGCCAATAGACGTCTGGCACCGGTTGGGAGAGCTTGGCGAGATTACAGGGCTCGTTGTGACGGTTCGAGATGATGCCGTGCTGCAACTCCAGTTGATGCGAGGAGAATGCGCTGCTTGAATAGCCTAGAGTGATGGTGGGTTTGGGGGTTGGCATCTGCATCTTCCACCCACCCTCGACCTCAAAGTCGGGCACTTCGTCCGGTACACCATCCCGATGGAAAAGAGTGTTCGTCCGACACTTCATGATCCTGTGGTTCTTGGCCACCGAGACCAGGAGTGGTAGGAGGAGGTCTGTCATCTCTTTGGCGCTCACCGACTTCCGACTTCTGACTTGCTGGGCGAATTTGGTCGCTTCGGAACTGGGACGCTGCGTTTCGCCATATGGCATACCGAGGGCAAATGCCAACCGGCTCCATCTCTCGTCGTCCATCTGTCTGTCCTCGACAATAATGTGGTTCGGCTCGAGGGTGGTCGACCGATAATCGGACGAACCGAACGAAGCTCTTCTCTCTGACACATTGCTCTTGCTTGATGACGAGGGTTTGCGAATGTGACTTCGTAAGCTGGTAATCGTGGTTCTCGAGAGGTCACGCATCATGGGGGATGGTCGGAGCCCGCACTCAGGCTGACCTCTGTAAGTTGGAGCCTGTGAAGTTCGAATAGCTGTGGACGTATGCTCCCGGAGTGGGTGAGGCAGCCGATGAAGAGGCCTTGGGCGTCTTATATCCAGCCCTCATAATGACCGTCACCGGGCGTCATTGCCGCTCAGCCCCCTGAGGAAGCGCTCAAAGGAGGCTCTTTTGTCGGTGGATTCATTTCTATGGCCTTTAAATGTCGTGGTCGGGCGCCGTGGGGGAAGAGGGCCGCATGCTGGCTGCAGTCCGCCGAGCGCCAGACCGGCCAATGAATGGCTTCCATAAGGCTGTAGGCGGCTACGAGGCTGGCCAGGCTGTCATTCTTCATCCCAGCTGGGTAAAATTGCTGCATCTGAATTGGGATCTTCACGCTTGTACTACGGGCTGAGGTCCCTCGCACCTTTCGCCCCGTCCATCCATCTCCCCCTTGGTCGGATTCGCAATTCCTGCGGACTAAAATTGGATCCAGACACGCAAAGGGCCGAGCCCTCTCCGCTTACTCAATCCTCCACGACCCCCGCAAAGGACCAAGAAGTCTAGACCTGCGCTGCTTACACAACACCTCTGGAGTCTGCCCGGCCTATCCCAGTCGGGCGTGGCCTTCTAGCGAGTCGCGTATCGTCATATTACGGCATGGAAACCACACTGCACTCGCTCAAGAGAGCAAAGATGCATACGAGAAGCCATCACCAGTACACGGCGAGCGATCGACTATATGAGGCGGGGATCCCTCTGTGTCGTGAGAAGATTGCAGGTGCAAAAACAACCTCTCTTCTCAGCTAGGCCGGGAAATATCTGTCAAAGATTCAGCACATCAAAGACAAACATGGCACCAGACTCGACATCTCCAAAGCCGCCGAAAATCACACACATCCTCGAGACGTGCCTGATGGTCAAGGACGTCGGGGCCGCGACCGAGTTCTACAAGAACGTGTTTGACGTCGAACCATTCATGAACACGGTAAAGCTTCCTCTCCTCCTGCTTTGCCGCTATGAGGGAATGGTCTTTCTCTGCAAGCCCCCCCTTCTTGCCGGTGCTGTCTTTGCTCACGTCACAACCCTACGGCTCTAGCCACGCATGTCCGGCTTCGCCCTGTCTCAGACAACACTGCTCCTCTTCCAGCTCGGCGCCACCGCCGCGGACAGTCCCATGCCCGACAACCGTGGCACGATCCCCGGCCACGGGCCCTCGCAGGACATCCTGGATCTGCTGCTCGCCGCCGCGCCAGATGCCACCGCCGGTCAGTCATCGTCACATCATCCGACCTCCAGCCCGGTGGCAAGGCCGGGCCGGCTGAACCAGCACTTCTGCCTCGCCGTGGCCTCGCCGGCCGATGTCCAGGCGTGGGAGAGGTGGTTCGAGGACAAGGACGTCGAGATCCTCGGGCGGGTCAATTGGCCCCGGGGTGGGAAGAGCGTGTACTTTGGCGACCTGGACGGCAACGTCGGGGAGATTGCCAGTCGAGGCATCTGGGAGCATTATTAGGACAGGCACGGAAGACTGCAGACTGTGACCCTTGGCCTCATCCTTAACGTGGTCCTCGGGGTATTGCACACAGCCATCAGTCTCGACAAATTGGCTCGGCAGTTAACCATGGGTCTATCAACGTCAAAGTTTGTCCGTTTCCAACTGAGCCGCGTTCGACGCGCCACGCGAACCAGAAGAGTAGCCGTGAGCGTGACTCCAGTGCTAGAAAACATGCGAAATGCTCCATGCTTGTACTTGTGCCTGTCATTGTCCAGCAGACTAAAAGTCACTCTACCATCGAAACGATAGATTAGTCAGTCCGGTCCTAAAGTGTCTGCAGCAATTGATTGGGTATCCATTCAAAACGAAATGGCCTGTGTAGACGGGATGAAACCTTTGTATATGGCTCGCTGTAATCTACCATGCCCATCTCGATTGCTCTTAAGTATATAAACACCCTCCTCCCCAGGCAAGTCTCTCTCTTATTCAAGAACCCATCGATACACCCAGCGGTCTCTCAAACATCAAAGTCAACAACCCATCACATCACATCACACAAGCCACACAACCACATACCACGACCTCCAACACAGCAACTTGACACCTCAACAACTTCTCTCAAAACACAACACCAAACACAAAGACAAACAATACAACCAACGTCGACAACATGGGTTGCAGCAGCTCCAAGCAACAACGCAGCAGTGAGCCCGCAATTCCTGCCAGAATCACACCTCTTGCTTCCCCCACGCCAACAGTCAGAAGCACTCTATCAACTCGGCCAAATCGGCCAAAGGCCAGAAAGTGCCCAACACCAAGCTCGCGCTCCCATTACGTCCACTTTGAGCGCCACACCACCATCAGCAGCCAGTATGGCCATCCGTACCCTGAGTACGACCCCCACCCCGGTGCATGGTACTAGCCACAGGCACTGGAGAGGAGAAGTGAAGGACCCATGGGAGGATTGATCCAGTCTAGGGATCTGAATGGAGTTTGGGTTCCGGGAGATTGGAAGTGGGAAAACCCAAAGGCTGAGAAAGAAAGTCAGCAGAAAGAGGAGGGGGCTCTGCAATTCGACAGCCACCTTCACGTGGTGCAGAGCGTAAGTAGCCAGCCGCAATTGTTGGCTGGTGAAACCAAGAGCTGTCTCCCATAGTCTTTTGTAATTTGTATCGATAGCCGGAAAGAAATGAACAGTGCCAGTACCCACGGTATTCTTCCGTATTTCGTGATTGTCGATTGATCACGTCACAGCCAGCAGTCAATGCCGCCTTTGGATGTTGTTTCCCTAATGTCTGTAGAAGTCAGACATCCACCAGATTCAAATCTTGTCTTTTGACATCAGAAACATAGAGGCTGAACATGAGCAGGCGAAATTGCCTCAACAGTCGGGTCGGGGATGTGGACAGATCTGTGAAGTGAGCCTCGCGGTTTGTTGCCGTCTGATGGTCCTTTTTGGGCCTGGAAGGAGGTGTGTCCATTAGAGAGGGCCCAGTGGACCTTCAAATGTCTTTGAGACAAGCCTAACTGGTGGCATTTTGGCTGCAGCCTAAAAGACCCCCATACTTCCAGCGGTCTGAAAGTTGAATCTTGTTGACCGCCTCGAGGATAGCTGGTGTTAAGCATTGTGAAATGGCGCGTATTCTGGGACTGATCATCACATAAAATCGTCGTCCTCCACCTGGCCCTTCTCTTTCCGAGCACGCCTCCGATCTCTGATCCTCTTCTCCGTAGCCATAAACTCTCGAATGCCAATAGGAATCCCCTTGAATAGGATATCCTCCTCATTAGCCTCTGACGAGGGTGCTGTCCAGAGGCTTTCACTCCCGCCTCCATCATCGTCCATGCTTCCCGACGCCTCGTGGACTTCGGGTCTCGCCATCTCGACCTTGGGAGCACCTCGCCGATGCTTCGGCGCTTTGGCCTGCGCCTCGTGAAGTCTGGCGGCCCACTCTTCCACATCGTCTCGATAATCGTCCCAAACGCAATGCACGCAGCCACTCATGCAGCAATTGTCCGGCTCGGCAGGTTTGGGAGGGACCGCTACGCCGTTGATTGTGCGCCACGTCGAGTCGGGCGTGCTTGACGTCCGCCGTTCATATCCCGACCCACGTATTGCTCCAAATACCTTCCTTGCTCTTTCCATCTTTGACTCGTCGCCTGGTTGCACGAAGGTAGGCAGGTCTGAGTATGTTGTGGGATGCTTCTGGATTGGAGTCGATAGCAGCTCGGTATAGAAGTCGCCCAGCGGCACGGCTTGCTGCTGTTCGTCAGGTGCTTCCTGGAGCATCCGTGCGGTAGTGTAAAGGTATCGCACACCCCGTACTGGGCGGTGTTGCACCAGAGTCCCAGAGCTGATCGGGGGAGAAGCCTTGCGCAGGCTAGAGGTGGAGATCCGGCGCTGCTGGACTTTCAGTTGTTGCTGAAGACAGGACGCACAGGTCCATCTGATCCTGGGAAGCATGTTTAGAGTTGGATTGTGAAGAGCCATAGCTGTGGACACGGCTAGTAAAGACTAATATCTACAACGGAGCGCCAAAGCAAGACTGCCCGTTGCGATCGATGCGGTTTTTCCCTTGTATTTTTATCGGTGGCAGCTCTCCCTGCGGGTGATGTCACTGCTGGCGTCCTCGCTTATTCAGCGCTGCAGCCTCGTCTGTAGCGGCCAGCGGCCGGCAGCCCAGCCGACCGCGACAAGGCTGCGCCTAATCATAAGCCCGCTCGCTCTCCTTTACTCGACGGGGTAACAAAGCCTGGAGATCGCGGGTGGCACCTCGTCCCCAGCCCCTGAACGCCTCAGACGGGCCCCCTTTGGCTTCCAGACTGCTCTACCGTGTCAAATTTTCGATGGCCTGCGCGGTTTTCATTTTTTCCCTCCTTTTTTCCCGCAACGGCCTATAATTACCTTGTGTTTTGCACGGTTCCTGATCCTTTCTAGCCTTTACATTCCTTATAGACTTCCTTCACTTGTGTCCCTCGTTTGGTTCAGCGCTAGACACGTCGGTACACCATAAACAAAACACCACGCTTTTTTCGCACCCACGCACGCTTGAATAGAATCAGCAATACAAAATCAAACAAAATCAACCCATAACCAAACGAAAAATGTCTCACTTCACCATCGGCACCTTTTTCGCCTCCACGGCCACCGCCCTCGCGCCGTTCCTGATCGTCTACTACATGCCTCAAAAGGTGCAAAAGACGCAAACCCCTTCGTCGGCGCTGGCCACGCTCCCCAAACCGCGCCCTCTCGCTGCTCTGCGCGACGCGCGCGAGAACGCGAAGACGGCGCCTGAATTCAACCTCCTCTAAATGTGACAACACACAATCTGCTCTACCCTTAGAGGGGGGCGTATCGCGGCTTCGGGTCAGTTTGTGGGGTTATGCGGGATGCGTTGACGACGGTTGCACGAAAGGTTCATGACTGGGCGCTTAATACATGATGGGAGGGCTGGGGAAGGGTTGTCGCGGGAGCCAGGTCATATTCGTGTGGGACTTGAGTATAGACGACGACGGCAGCGCGTGTTTGCGAGGAAACGGGTTTAACGACATGGGGTTTTTGTGAGCAGTTGCTACTCTTCTTTGCGCATTTTTGCGCTTGTCGCAGTAGCAAAGTCGAGTCGAGGAAAATGATTATTGTGTCTTGTTCTCATCATTCCTCGTCAATGTCTGGTTGCAAGCGAATCTTTCCAGTTTTCTGCTATGTCTTCCAAATGGGCGATCAGTCTGGTCCGTTTACATTCACGACGAAGACTTGCTCAGGGTGCGAAGCAAAAGTGATCATGCTAGTATTAGGGAGAGGGGTCTCCTCTGCTATTCACTTGGTCAATTACGCGACTCCAAGATCCAATTACTGCGAAGAATCGGTGACAGATTAAGTCCGCCGTTGTCTCCTGAAAGCATCAAAGGTACTCAACACACGGCTCAAAGTCCATTTGTTCAACTTGCCAATAATCACCACGACTAACACATCTCTCCTTTCAACACACACCAGATCACTTCAGGATAGGTCTGGCGAAGTAATGCCTGCCATCCCTCTTCTCATCAAGTAGCTGTCCCGACGTTCAACTCCTCACCTGAAAATCGACGACACCTTGTCACTCAGCCTGCCGCTCAACGACCGAGCTGTTCTGCGTGTGCTCTTTATTCTCTCATGCAAGTTCCGAGGGGCCACGGCGGCCTCGAAATAGGACGGCGGAGGAGCTGAGCTGTTTCCCTCGGGTAGGCTTACATGCCTTTTGCCCGGTAGAGGGTTCGCTTCGTTCCCTGCTCCCATAACTTGCTTCTCGTCAGTCGCAGCCAAAGCCGAGGATCGCGTCTTGCTTGCGGCCGGCAGTTTATTATAGGCATTTGACGCAGGGCGAGTTCTGATCGGGGTCTGGAAAGACGAGATTCCAATCGCGGATATCCCAAACCCTCTTCTTGCGTTGACATGGTATGGTCTCTCACGAATCGAGGCAGCATGCGCAATGACGACGGCATCCCGCAGCTTGCGGAGGTCCGCACCGTAATGCTTCAGGGAATAAAGTTGCTTCACGAGCTTATCGACGCCCTTGGCATCCAAGAGCTCTTCGTTCCTCCCCTTGTCAAGATTCGACTCGAAGAGGTTGACAAGCTCCTTATATTCGCGACGATACTGTTCAAAGGCATCAAGTCGTTGTCTCTTGCCGCCAACCGCAACCTTAGATTTCTCCTCTTTGATAAGATGGTCCAGGTACTCCAGCGTGGCGTCGTTGTATGGCGTGATGGAGTGGTGCTTAAGCCAGAGGCTGAACTGAACTGCCGCCCGTTGAATCTCTTTATGTTCGTGTCTGAATTCCGCGATTGTGGCCTCTTTCGCCTTAATTGCAGCCTCAATGACAGTGGTGACCTTGGCATTTTCCTGCAGCAGCATCTCAACTTTCGGATCTTTGATGGTTCTCGTTGTCTCTCTGTGTTCGTACAGAATATGCTTGTGCTCAGTCCAGTGATGCCTGCAACCTTTACAGTGCTGCGACCCTCCGAATGCCGCGCATCTGACTAACTCTGGAGTTCCCACTCTCTCAACGGGAACGTTGGTCAAACAGCAAGGGTTGTGACAGAGACTTTTGTGTACGGTGTCCTCTCCGTTGGGGCCGGGAGTGTCAACTTTCCTGATGCATCTCGCATTAGTACAGACAGTCTTTGGGCGAGTGACTGGGCTGAAGACCACCGAATTTTGGTGCACGTCTAGCTTCTTCAGCATTTCGTCCTTGCTCAATCTGCTGTTCCGCAAAAGCTCATTATCTCGTTGGTTCAACTCGATGGTATCATTGATCTTTTGCGCGATCTCGGCCATGGGCTTGGTTAACTGAAGGATCAGCCGTCGAGCCTCGTTCAGACTGAGGGTATTCTCGACTTGATGGGGCTCTAATTGGCGGATGTAGTCGAGCAAACGCCGAGATTCTGTAGCTGACTGCTCCCAACTTCGGAAATAGTCATCGAAGCTGCCTAAGTTCACCCCTTGCTTGTGAGCAGCTAGGTAGCGGAAGCTCTCCGAATCGAAGCAATAGACTGTGTTGTGAAACAGCCCAAGATTGACATCTCGGAACTGCTTTAATACAGCCTCAAGTGGTATAAAGGTGTCTCCGGGGTGGTAATTCGAACCACGAGTGTTGGTAAAACCAAAAACCATGTTGCGAGCTGCGTTGCGATGCAAGTGGGTTAACAATTCCTTGATGCAAAACTCGAACATGACGTTCAATCGGGAGTTGTTTGGCTTGAGGAGGATCAGAATCCCATGCAGCTCCTTGTAGTTGCTCAGCATTGACAGGACGTCGGCCATGTTGGCTTTGTCCTGGTCCAGACCTCTGGTATCACCGATGCCGGGAGTGTCAATCAAGCGTACCATCACCGAATCAACGAAAATGGGGTACGTGATGGCCCTTTGTGTGGCCGACTGGCCATCAGACGCGTCGTGTTCAAACTCGTCCACTGCCCCAATTTTGATCTTTCTCTGAATAAGTCTCTTGAGAGGGTCGCTCTCGTCAATCGTCTGAGTCGCAAACGAACATGGAATGACATGCTCTATTTGACTAGAGTCCATAGCTTCTTGCAAAGTGCTGTGAGTGAGGTAGTTCACGAAGGCATTAATCCATGTGCTTTTGCCGACACCTGTCTCGCCTAGGATCAAGATATTGACCTCTTCAAACGGATCCATGGCATCAAGCAACTGCAAGAGTTGCCGATCATCATATCGCTCGAAGTTTGGTCCATGCCCTTGGCCATTGCACCTGAAACTCCAGTAACGGTACTTGGTGCGCCCGCAATCGCAATACAAGTAGTGGTCTCGTCGGCCATAGTCGATGGTAGAGTAGCATTGGGAACAGATCCATTGAAGATGTGCTTGTTGCGCACAGTCTCTTCCCGGACAGGGTAGTTTGACGGGCTTCCGATCTATCGGTTTCTTGATTCCCCATGTATCGAGATGAGCACCGTCGAAATGCATCAGACATTTATCTCGGAGGAAATCTTGGAGTTTCTTGAAGTCGTTGGTGATCAGGTTGCCATCGCGATGGTACACGATATTGGACTTCTCGATAGGGCCCCCGCTGCGGTCACAGTCCACAATCCGGACCGATTTTCGGGTGTCTCGAGACTGGAGTAAGTCGAAAATCAGCTGCGCATTAGGGCCCCATGTCGCAATATCGTCCATAGCGTTGCGGCTAAAGTAAAAAGTGTACGAGTTACCGCGCGGCGTGGGGATCCCAACCTCATTTGAAAAGTAATCTGCCCCATTCCTTGTCGCCTGGTCAATGAAAGCCAGCTTTCGGGCATAGAGATCTGCCACGGCAGTAAGCTGAACGGGAGAATATTGGCCACTCGTAAATCTTTCAAGCATTTGCGCCAGCTGTTTCGACCCCATCCGACCATTTCGAAAATCGCGCAGGGCGATGCCGTATTGCACCCTCAGCACGCCTTCTGCTTTATTTGCACGATCAAAGGACTCAGAGACTTCACGGACATGTTCCTCCGGCACGAGGGTACGTCGAAGAGAAAGATAGGTCCAGTAATCCTTGAGCCGTCTCTGAGCACTCCGAATCTCTTCAAACGTTTTCATGAAATCAGACAGGAGGTCCTCATTGGGCTGGATGACCATGACTTCGGCTGCGGGTTCAAAGTTCAAAATCAGCGAGAGCCAGTGAACCGGGAGGAGTGTGTAGATGACAGGCTGTCCCCATCCTTGGTTGATATCCAACAGTTGATTTGGTATATTTCGCATGAACTGGCAGGCGCCCTTTAAGTCGGTTTGTACCGGGTTGCTGCTGGACAGGTCTGTGTGGAGGCAAACCTGAAGTGATTTGCTCAGGTCACGGAATTGACAAGAGTCTCCAGTCAAGGGCTCCTGCTGGAAGGTATTTTGTTCAACTTTGGCATATTCCTCCCGTAACAGCCTTCTCACAGCATTCTCATCCTCGCCAGCAGATCTCTGATAGTTTGCTGTGAGAATGCTTCGACCACCCCATGTGATTTCTGAGACTACATGTGTGGCATGGCTTAGCTGTATATTCTCTCGAGAAACAGACTGCCGTATTTCCGGGGTTGCAAAGTTGACTTTCTCATGAAATGTGGTAATGACATGTTGCAGGGACATTTGCACTGTGAAATTGCTCTCGTGTCGATCGAGAAGAGAAGCCGCGGAGCGCAAAGGAACAATTAATCCAGAAAGTATGCTAGCCTCCAAGGAAGAGTGCACTTCAATAGCGTTGAATTTGTCTCTGAGACCATGGGTCTCGATAACTCTGAATCTTGAGGATGGACGTGCCTCTATGGCGACTGCAGACTCTGGAGTCCGGTCATTCAGCAATGAAAGCGGTAAAAAGGAATCGGTCCGTGCATCATATAGACTCCCCAGGGCGGCAGCCTCACCCAGCGAGACTCTTTTCAGGCCTGCGGAAGACATATTGGAGACTGGATTGAGCAGAAACAGAATGATAGCGATCGTCAAGTGCCTCTCGCAGGCAAGACGGGGAGTCGGCAGGGAGAAGAAGTAATCACAAAAAAGGAGTCGGAGTTCCTCTTTTATCAGGCAAATATGTGTGGATCAACTGACCAGGCATCGCCGGGCGTATTAGATAGAGGGGGAAGAACAGGCCCAAGTCAGCCTATCATCAACGTACTTCAACAAGGCGCAAGATCAGCATACCTCCTGCGCCTTGTGTTGGTCCGCAACAACAGGTAAAGCTGGCGTCAGGTCGCCAACACCGAATCAACCCGTCGTCACACGGCATGTGTTGTCCAGTCCCGTTGTCGTAACTAAGCCAAGAGCACTTACCGGGCGCAAGAAACTGCGAATTGGGGTCCAAGGTTGAGCGATTTGGAGCCGCTGCGGGACAGGTGGAATGCAGGGCGCATACATATGGCAACGTTAATACGGCTCTGGCATCAACCAGGCAAAGGAAGGCGTCCATGGTTCGCCCGACTTATAATGTAAAGAAGGGAACAATTGATAAGGCTAACTCATGTGGAGACACGGCAGAAGGAAGGGACTGTTCTAGGGACTTGCCTTGAACGCGGCCAAAAACGCCTAAATATGCACGAGCTTGGGTCATCCGTGTTCGGGTCTGAAGTCCCTAGTGCAGATGTATTCGATCTATCCTTTGTCTTCACGCAAAGCGAGGGATGAGGCCGGATCATTGAAAAGAGTAATAATAGAATGGTGCGGCTGAAGACGAGAACAGCGCAGGCATATTAATAATGATCCACCGTATCCTTGGCATACGGTAGATCATAGTGTCCGGCCCGCGAGTATCTCCACTACGAGCTGAAGAGTCAAGACCATCTTAGATTCTTGTCTTGGATTCATGGTGGTTGGTTCTATCTGCTGCTTCTTCTCGTTGCACAAATACTCGTTACAGATTCTTCACTCTAGTTTTGTATCAAATTCAGCTGCGCGAGGTCGTCATGGATTGCGCCTTCGAGGTCGATTTGGTGATCATCGCCGTCTAGCAGCCCCAAGTAATACGATAGGTCGCGACCGTCAAACTCTCGAGTGGCAAAGCCATTACCCAGGAATTCAAACATGTTCAATGAGTTCATGTACTCAATCTGGTAGTCCTCAAATCTGGGAGTCGCCAGAAGGTCCATATACACCAATCGAGACGCAGGGAACATTGGCAGCGGACCATCGATTCTTCCTTGCTTGAACCACGAACTACATCCCTGTGGTACGAGAGGTATCAGTGTCTCGCCTCTACATGGGTTTTAGGGTTCCACCTACCGAAGTCCAAGCTGTTCTATTCAGAAACAGTTGTGCGTGCTCTCTAAACTGCTCGGCGATCTCAGGTTTGGGGGTCAGACTCTTGATACGGTCTTTTTGCATCTTTTGAATGCACTGGATGATGTTGCCCGCAAGCGTCTCGATGATGGGTAGGAAAGACCCGTGCCCAAGGGGACCATAAGGCCCGCCCATCATGAAATAGTTCGGCACTAATCTATGAATCAGTGGTCGTCACAGCGATTATATTTAGGGGATTCATACTGTAGGGAACTCCGAGGGAAATATATGATGTAGCCTCCTTGGCCCACATCTTTGCAATACTGTGCCCATTTGCTTCGACGGGGAACCTGGGAATCCAGCTTGTGTTGAACCTGCCATGCACCAGTCAGCGAATCGATCGAGCCCAACTCATGTCCACAACGTCTCAACAACGGTCGAATGGTCAGCGCGACTGTAAGCTTACCCTGTGGCACAGATGATAATGTCCACGTCGTGTTGCTGTCCCTCACTATCGACGAAACCATTGGCGTTTATCTCTTTCATGGGCGAGATGAAGACTTGGACATTTTCTTGGTTCAAAGCTTCAAGGAAGCCGTTTCCAGGCTGAGGAACCCCCGAATCAGTTGGTGCTCATGCACGCTCTGGAACAAACTCACAGTCGGCCTCCTGCATCCCACACCGAAATTCTTGGGTATGATCGCCTCTAGGAGCTCCGGTTTCGTCGTCCCAAGCTTCTGCATCATCTCGTTTCGAGCAAACTGGTGACTCAAGTCAGTGTGTTGGGCAATTCTCTTGGTAAGCATCTTCTTACTTCTCTGGCACCTTCGGCCTCCTTGGTCCCATTCAAAATGAACTTGAACCTGACGTTCAGCTCAGACTCGATCATTTTCGAATATTTCAGGAATAAGTCTGGGTTCTCGGCAAATTTCTTTTGCTGTTCGGGAGTATCTGTCTTCAGGGTTAGAAGGTCACCGTCGCCTAACTATTAGAGGGAGACATATGATCCATACAGCGGAAATTTCCTCCATCCGGTCCAGCAAACTTCTGGGCAAACCCGGCGGTGATCCACGTTGGCGATCTGACCCAAGTGTAGAGTTGCTTTACCTGGGACGCAATCTTTGAGATGATCTGGATGCCGCTGCTCCCGATTCCAATGACCGCAACACGCTTACCGTTCAAGTCGATTTCGGGGTCGTAATTGGCGCTGTGCACGAGGATACCCTTAAACGAATGCAGGCCTTTGATATCTGGCCACTTCCAATTGCTATACACAACACCTTTGTCAGCAACGGACACGCAGCAGTCAAGTAGGGAAGAGACGCACTTCAGAATCCCACCGCCATTAACGAGGACATTACAAGTATCCACGAACTCGGTCCCATCGGGCCGTCGCACATGCACTTCCCAGACGGCTTTCTCAGGTTGCCAATACGCTCCGGTCACAGTGTGCTGGAGTTGGACGTATTTGATCAGACCGTGCTTGTCGACCACGTTCTTGAAATACTGCCATATTTCCGGCGACTCCGAGTAATATTGGGACCAATAAGGATTCCTTTCCCAGGTGAATTGATACGACGCAGAAGGGATGTCACAAGCACAGCCGGGATATCTTTTGGACGATGGTTTCCTCGTCAGCAATCTCTCGGTTTCCTGCTGCAACAAGAAGAAACATCACACTTCAGATTGAAAGGGTTCTAGCAAATACCTATTCTCGAGCCACGTTCCTCCGACGTCCTTGTTTTTCTCGTATATCTGCAACTCGACGTTCTCGCACCGTTCTTCGATGAATTTGGAAAGCGTGATTCCCGAAGCGCCCGCGCCGATGTGGATCACTCTGATCTTGCGTGGTGTTGCATATGGTTCTTCGTGGATCCTGTATCCCCTGGCATTCTGAACCATCCACCCCAGCTCGTTGAAGACCTCGCCGGTCGAATTGGACGAGAAGCCTTCGCCGTCCTTGGATGGCGCCATCTCGGAATCGCAGAAAGATAAGTGATGCTGTGCAAACCACAAGTCGGAACCCTGTTGTCGCGGTCGAGGAGTACAAAGGTTGCGTTGTATCGTGTGCTCAAGGTCTATCACCCAGGAGTGGACCTGTGAGAGACTGGGTATGTATTTATTTCAACAATCAGAACAGCGCTCGAGCGGCACATCCACCGTCTATACTCGCCTGATCCAGTCAGCAAGGGGTGTCTGTGAAGCCGTTTTTGGAGGTAGACCTCGGTACTGGGATCCATCTCCAAGGCCTTGTCTGCGGGGATCTAAGGAGCAAAAAAGCGAGCGATTCAAGTGGCACAGAGCCGGCAACGATGTGCTAAGCCGGATAACGGCACTGGCCACAAACCTTCCCTACGAGGATATTGGCTGATGGCGGAGATAAAACACCTCTGGCTCTACCTATCAGGCCACTGGGCATGTGTTCACAGCTGACTTTCTTCGACGTTCAGTCCAGTCCTCCTCGGTCCTCAGGACGGAATAGACGGACGGCCAGGGAGTCGATCTTTGAGAAGTCCGAGCCCTCTACCCCTTCCCAGCAAGATATCACTCCAGAGATTGTCATGCAATAAATGGAATCGGGGACGCTTTTCGACGGTGACCCCATGCCGCAAGGCTGTAAGCAACGTTTATTCCCTTTCTTGGACAGTGGATACCACCACTACATCAACACTGTACGGCCGAGTCGCGTTGTGTCCTCGAGGCGACCTCAAAAGTCCCCCCATAATCCTTTTCTGATGAAATGAGAAAAGCTCCCAAATAAGCAGGGCGAAGGATACAGTCAGAATTGGTGAGTTTCTTCCTCAGGGGTGTTTGTCAGCAAGGTCGTCAGAAGAGCCGGTGGGCCTTCTTGTCCTGAGTCAGTCTCATGGGCGTGCTAGAGTGTGGATTGCAACGGCCGGGGCGCGCTCTGGACATATCGTGGACATTAGAGACGTCTACATATCGCCGTCGCCACAGCGTGCCAACCGAGCTGCTGAAAGTGCTGTACTAGGTACTGTACTGAGGCATCAAGCAGCATTTCCACAACCACCGCTTACAAATGCAAAACAACCTACAGGACCAATGTGCCTTCATCCACAGCGCATGGCCCCCTTGATCCAGCCATACCATGCGCCTCAGAGGTCGCGCCTCTCGACTGTCTCTTTTACACGCTCTTATACCTGCCAAGACCTAGCGGGACGTGGTTAACAAACATATCCCAAGCGAAACCCTTTGAGGCGACTTTGGTTTGGCACGGCGAGAAATTAGAAGTAATTCGCCTTGTTAGAACGCTGGTTCGTCGGCGAGGTCAACTCGAAGCATAGTAGAGACAAGACCCCAACGAAATGCCGGGCGAAAGTAGGCCTGGAAATGAACACATAGTACAAGAGGATGGTACTAGGTAGGGCTCAGGGTGAAAGATCGTGGCTTTTGTGTTCGCTATATAATCTAGAAGGCAGCTTCAAGCCTCCATTTGGGAAAGTCCATAACCAAAGCCATGTGCGACTCTAATGTGCAACGACAAAGTTTGGACTCACCTCGAAATTCGCCGGGACCAGGGAGTTATCGTATGCGCTCTGATACTCAGAAAGACGACGCTGTTAGGCTGCTGTTCTCCAAGCCTCAGCCTTCAGCACCAGGCGTATTTCTCCTTGGCGAGCCAAACAACTTCCTCGCCCGGTCCCGCCGCCCATCTGAGACTGCACAAATGCTCTTTGTCGCGGGAAATGATCTCCACCTTGCCTTGCTCTTCTGTCCTCAGCCTCTGAGCCGAGGCAACTACCAACTCCAAAGGATCCCAGACCTCCACACCCGCAGCCATCTCCCACTGATGTGCCTCTAATTGTGCTCTCAAAAGAAGTGCCGACATTGCGTGTTGGGTATCTACTGAATTCTCCACCGAAGGTGGGATAACAGTGTGTAGGATATGCAGTTGCCACTCAGACTCCTTGGCAGCATACACGCGACACCAGATCAGAGCAAGGCCGGTGGCTCGATGGATGGCGCCCTTGATTTGGGGGAAACCTTTATTCAAGACTTTTGTCTGGAACTCCTCTCGGGCGAAGTGCCATTCAAAATGCTCGACGTCAGGACGGATTGCAATATGATTTATGCCCGGGATAGCCTCGGAAATCGCATGCAGGCGATGTTCAAGGTACTCAGCAGTGGGGATATGCTTCAGATCTTCCGTCGTTAAGTCTTCAACAGCAGGAAACATGGAACTGGCGGAAGCATAGGCACCTTGATCCATCGGAGCGAGATGAATGTGGTTGCTCGGGAACACTTTCCAGCCGAATCTGGCGTAGAACTTCTGGCCAATGTCAGAGTATAGAACCGAGAATAGATTGGTTGCACCAGGCGCTGTCTGCCACGACTCCAATCTGCTCCCCAGCTCTGCCATCATTCTGCCAGCGTACCCTTTTCCGCGGTATTCGGGACGCGTATAAACCGAGGCAATGCCATGGGCCTGGGTCCTGTCCACCACGCCATCTTTCGCCACGTATGCTTGAACTAGAAGGCTCTCACAACAGGCAAGTATGGGTCGCGAACCATCGGGGTTTGGGGGTAAGGCGTCAGACGTCAGAATCCACCCGGTGATGCGACCATCTCTTGTCAAATCGACTGCCTGGAGGATGACCTCGCGTTCCAGGTATTGATCCAGAGTGAGCGGCCCTTGCCATTCTTCAGCATTGAGATATGCCGTCTGGACATATTCGAGAGGGGTGGCAGCCACAAGTATCAGATCTGGCGACTGAGCTGGTGGTTGAGAAGCAGGGTCGATAGCGGGGGGTTTTGAGGCCGATTTAGTCGCGGTTGGGGGCACTTCTATGGAAGCCATCTTATCTAGTGTCCAACAATGCCTGTGCTAATGAGCAAACAACGAGGTAAGTGGTAGTGGAGGGCATGAAGAACTGGGGGGAAAAGTTTTCATGCGGTCCTGTCACAAGGCGCATCAACCTACGTTGCAAAGTAACAGTGTCAAACCTGGGTGAAAGGCAACAAAGACCACAAATGTAGAGTCATTCGCTTCCTGTGAGCGTAGAGAGCATCTTCCGGGGGCTTTGCAGGTGGGCGGGTAAAGATGCTCTCATGGTGGAGGGCTGAGGTGCAGTCAAGAGACAGCCTGCGGTCGCTGGGTTTACCCGAAAAAGGCCCGTGATCACTGCGGCTCCCAAACGAGGCTTAGAGAGCCTTTGAGCCTTTCGATCGACATTTGAACTCTGACTTCATCGACGGGAAAGGGATGCAAGGAGGGAAACAAGAGATGGAATTCAGTATGGACGTCGAACATAGCCTCATCACCAGCCTCGCCGCCTTCTGCCTTCCTCCCTTGCTTCGAAGCCACACCCCCAGCCTCCAGACTGGTTCATCCTCGTACAAGAAGTGAAACAAATGACAGGACGCAGGGACTCTGCTACCCCTCCTCGCCCTCTTCGCCCTCCTCCGTCGCCGCCTTGTTTGGCTCTTTTGGGCTCCTCTGACTCTCCCTCTCCCTCTCCCTCTCCGTGCGGCGCTGCCAGCAGCGTCCTTCAGTGGTTGCGGTTCGTATCTGCAACCTCCTGCGATTGATGCGCTTGACGCCCTCCGCGTCCTCCGGTGGTGCCGCCCTCTTATCCAATGGGTTCTAGCTCACCCGGTTACTGCTATCGCGTCAATTGATCCAATCCAGTTCTGCCAGCACCTGGTGGGTGCCTTGGATCGCGCACCATCCAGTTCGACCTCACCTCTTCCCGTCACTCGACCATGTCGGATCTGCGCAGGAACCAAATAAACATACAAGGCTCTCCCCATTAGAATTTTGCTGCTTCACAGATCCTTTCTTTCTGCCGCATTACTCCTTGTTCTTTTTCTTCTCTTGGCTTCCCATCTTTTACATTTGTACCATCCCACTTCGTTCACCCCTTTGGTGCATCTTCTATCCTTCCTACACTTCACCAACTGCGCCTAAGCAGTAGGCTCGATTACTGGTACGAGCGCAGGCAGCGGCAGCTCCTTCATACCTTTCTCCCTACACTCGCCCAAGGCGCCGGGTCATAGAGTTCTGTCTGAAATTCAAGTTGAGCCTGTGCAGCCCATCGTGTTGCGCAGAGAAGGCCACTTCCACGAGAACAACCTGAGAAATCGACCAACTCCAAACCCACGGATATCCAAAGGCTCTTTGCATGGGCGGACCTGGTTCACCTCGACCTCATGAGTCGCCCGTCAATATGTCCTATCAGCCTATGACCCCTCGGTAAGCAACTGTGTTTGCGTGCAGGTCTTCCCCGCTCAACTCCCTTGTCCTCTTGGAATGGCGGTCTTGGCCTGCACAATTCCCTCAGAGCCTCAACGGTCCAAAGGTTTCAGTCCTGCAAAAGTTGAGCATGTCTCCATAGTCCTGGACACTAACCGTCAATTTTCTAGGCTGGCCGATATCCCCACCGACCGGCACGACTTAGCTCGCAGTGTGACATATCGATCTCCCACACGCCTCTCGGGCATGGTAACCCGGAAGAAAGATATCATCATTGAGGTCTCTGACGATGAGTCTGACAATGATCCACCTCCTCAACAGTCGCCTAGCCAGCAGTCTCTCCGTCGACGCCCACTCAGCACAGCTTTGCCATCCATCTCATCCAGTGACGCTGATGTCTCCGATACGGAGTTCGAACTGGATGCCCGTCTTGCCCGTCCTACGCGAACCCTCAAGCGAACATGGACTCCCAGTAGCTCCTCAGCCGGTTCACCACAAATTGCTCCCGGGGATCGTGGCAAGCGCCGTGCAAATCCGCCCTCCTCTTGCGCTCTGGGTGACATGTACGGCAAAGAAGCTAGTCCTGGTCTGCAACCACAGCATCACAGATTCAGCCGAGATGGTGCTGTACCCGAACAGGCCTTTACTGGTTCAAGTCTAAACAATATTACACAACGTTACACAGAGTCCGGGAAGAAGAAGACGAAGAAGAAGAAGAAGGCGACGCAACAGCCACCTTACTATGTCGATGGTCGGCTTGATGTCAAAATGTATCGAGGTCCAGGCTACGAGCGCTTTCCAGTAGTCCTTGGCACTGTTGAGGGACACCAGGAGCTGTGTGACAGGTGGGACGCAGAAAAGCTGCTCAAACTGGAGAGGAAGGCGACCAAGTTACGGCAAGCAATTCGGACTCCGTATGTCATCCATGATTCCGATTCCGAGTCAAGCGACGATGAAGCAGAAGGTGACGGGAAAACAGCGTTCGAAAAGAAGTGTCTTGCTAGCGTTATCGATGTCTTCCCAGACATTGAACGCGCATACGTCGAAAAGAAAATTCAAGATGCTCCTCCACAACCTCAGTACTTCAACCAAGGTGACCTGCAAATTGTCGACATCACCGTCCCACCCATTGTCGAACAAATCATAATGGAAATTCTGGAGATGCAGTCATATCCCAAGCAACGTCCTACTAACCGGATGGCTCCTGCCAAGGGGGCTGCGGAGGATGGAACCGGCGTTACCATCACCTGGAACCGAGATCTCCCAAAGGACCAAATGTACACGAAAGACGCCATCATTCTGCTTGCGAAAAATTTCGTGAATGTCCCTTCCCATTACATCGCCAAAGTAGTAGAGGAGAAGAAATCCATCTTCGACTCGTACGTCACCATCCTGGGACAAGAAGATCAGTATTACTCGCTCCAGCCCAGACCCTACAAGCGTTACATCAAACCAAGGACCGAACTGGAAAAGAAATACATGCTGTCGGCAGGAGACCGCCGCATCCCAGCAGAGTACGCCAACAGAGTCAACGAACTGCAGGCAGCCAAACAATTCTTCGTTCGCGAGGGAATTAAAGAGGCGGCCAAGAAAGCTAAGGAGGAGGCTGAAGCTTTAAATTTGGCCGAGCACATCAAGACCGGTGCGATCATGGAATGCCAGTGCTGCTTCGACACAGAGACTCCCCTCAACCGTATTGTCTCTTGCATGGCAGATGTCCCTCATTTCTTCTGCTTCACTTGTGTGGAAGGCCTGGCTGACAATCAGGTTGGAATGCTGAAGTATGAGATGCGCTGTATGGATGCTGGTGGCTGTACCGCGGAGCTGTCTCATGAGGATATTGGGAGAGCAGTCCCAATCACCACCTTTGACCGTCTGGAACTTAACAAGCAACAAGCCGAGATCATGGCCGCTAACATTGAAGGACTAGAGCAATGTTCGTGCTGTGAATACAGAGCGATTTGCCTGGATGTGGTACAGGAACCCATCTTCTATTGCCAGAATCCGGAGTGTGCTCGCGCAACATGCAGAAGATGCAGGAAGGACAGCCACGCTCCAAAGTCTTGTGAGGAGAGTAATCGCGACAAGACTTTGTCCGCGCGACATCTGGTGGAAGAGGCGCGGTCGGAAGCCATTATTCGAACATGCCCCAAATGCAAAGCCAAAATCCTGAAGGACTTTGGATGCAACAAAATGAGATGCACAAGATGCAGCTGCCTCATGTGTTATATCTGCCACACAGACATAACGCATCTGGGTAATAATGCCTACTCTCATTTTGGGGGCAAATGTGTCTTGTATGACGAGCAAGGCATCAACCGGCACGAAAGTGAAGCGAACGAGGCAGAAAAGGGCGCCATCACCAAAGCCAAAGCCATGGATGCCGAGCTCGATGAACGCCAATTGCGTATCGACACTGACAAACCCAAGCAACGCCCCTCAGCCTTGCTGAATCACCCCGCCGCCGAGGTTTTCCTGCGCGATTTGAACAATCGTGCTGCTCGTCTGGACAACCGCCAGGCCCGACTTCGGGAGTTGCAAGTCCGTGTCAATCGTCTCCAAGCTTTTCGCCGAGATCCAGAGCTCGAGGACATCTTGGCAGGTATCCATCGCCTGGAAGGTGCACGTGGACATGAAGGGGGGCCACCGCCGAACTCAGAGGAATACATGCAACAGTTGCTTGACCTCCATAGGCGAGCACAGCTGAATCTCGCTCAGCATCAACTTGACTTGCATGAACAGTTGCAGCATCAACGTCACTTGGATGGACAGTTGCAGCAGCCTGCACCGGCAGCTCCTCGCACGGCAGCGCACAACCAATATCCAGCGGCTCCCAATCCAGCAGTCAACCCACCTATTCTTTTCCCCTTCACTCACTACAGGCCGGCTCCTGCCGCAGCAGCCTTCAGCGACCTTGGCCGGCCAGGTGACAACGCTCCCAACGGTACCAATCAGGGCCGCCCTTTTGGTAACTTTGACTTCAATTCTCCTGGGGTACGAGTGGCTATGCTAGATCCAATTCCCTCTAACACACTTACCGGAGTAGGCCGTGGGACTCCTAGACGGCATCCAGCAACTCAACCACCTGGGCCGCATGGTCTCTACCTTGAAGTACCTGGAAGCGGTGCTAGCTCTGCCAGACGTGAGCCAAATCATATTTACGGTCCAGCTGGTGCTGCTCTCCCTGCCCAGGGTCTTCAAACCCAAACACTACCCATTCCCGCTGCTTTAGCCGCTCACAATACCCCCCTTGGTATTGCTAGGAGCGGAGCAGGGAGCGAAGCAGGAAGCGGAGCACCAGATTTTCGTCGTCGTTGACCTTTAGCTTGGATTTCCATGACTCCTTGGTGGAGCTCTGTGGGCGACAGCACAGTCTATGCTTTAGTTGTGGCGGTGTGGAGCTGCAGTGGGTAACGCACACCTTGACAGTGCGAAGAGAGCGCTGCGGACAATTTCTGACGCTCTCAGAGAGCTTTGCCCAGGGGCTGCTCGGGCAGCAGAACTGATATTCTCCAGGCTCGTTGTTCGGCTCTTTAGTCAGCACCGCATGATCTGGGACTTTTGGCCACCTTTGCTATGGTCGGTCTTGTTTTTGCGTTCGTCTTCCTTCCCCCGAACACAGGTTGCTTTGGGGCATTGCTATGGGGACTTTGGCCCTACGGCGGTGATTCAGTCGAACAGAAATTGGTTCAAATGATGACGGCTATTGCGTGTACGGGCGGTGGGATTGTTGGCTGCAGGATTAATAATGAACGGCGATGGCGCAGCATCGGCTTTGAATGTATGTGTAAATTTCACGGATGGATGGGCTTTTGGCAGACCGTCTCACGAAGATTCGTTATGGTCAAACGTAACGAGCTGGCCCAGGGGCGAGACAGAATGAATGCAATGTGCCTAGCCGACTTGACGAGAATTAGAGGAACGGTGTGATTCTAGTTCCGTGGCACCAGGTTGATAATAATCCAATGCAACATTAACCCGTGGTACGTACCTAGGTACTTGGGCAGGTAAAACATTTGAAGCGTGTTGTAACATAAGCCATGTTCGTCTGGATGCTGTTCTAACTACCATCTACCCAGGGATTAATATCAGGAATCGTGGATCCTACTTACCTTTCCCCGTCTGTTTACCGAGAGGCGCCTCGAAAGCATAGCTCGTTGTACCGAAAGGTGGGTATACCGAACTTACCGAACTTACCGAACTACTTCGGCGCTCTAAATGTGCCGCAGCCTTGTCCTCAACGAGGGGTTGTCGCTCTCGTCCCGGTCTCCGAGGACTGGGTACCAAAGTGAAAAAAGAGTCAAGACAGTCTCGCCCCTACGGTGGCGGCACTCGCGCAGCTTCCTGCCCGCCTAATCAGGCCATCAGGCAAAGAGCATGTGGCGCTTCCAAGCAACAGTGGCAAGGAATTTTCTAAAAGGCTTTGCGAGCTTGTTATTCGGACAGAATCACTGATGCCACGTTGGGGGTGGGGGTTTTTTTGACCCTCGAACCCGTGCCTGCAGCCCCATCTCACCATCATAGCATTGAGAAGAGAATTGCAGAATCAGAGATTGTATTCACGATGCTTCTGGATGTTGAGGATAGTGACAGCTTCGCAAAGGGCTCTGTTGAGACTGCTTGCAGATACTTGGCATTTTCACTCCTCTATTTCAGTCTTTTGTATGTATTCTACGACATGAGCCAATCTGCCTGATCTTACTCTAAAGTCCTGCACGACTCGGTTGACGCTCAAGTCTGATTCCATACAGTTGCTTAGAGTGTGTAGTGGAAGCCCGGCAAACCCTCGATCACAGCCTGACCACTGTCGACTTCCTTGTTCTTCTTCCTGAAATATATCATCAAGCCAGTGACCACTGCAAGTGCGATAGCACAGGATCTACAATTCGTTAGTCCGATCTTGAAGCGGGTGACAATGGGGGCACTTACGCAAGCGAAGCATAAATGCCTGGGAGGTACTGAGGCGAATCCTGCGATCTGAAGACCAACGCGCCGACAATGCCTCCCGATGCACCTAATGTGATCAAGCTCGCGCTGGCAAAAGCTCGTTTCCACTGTCCTCGAATGTTGTTTGCCTGATATGCCATGACGGTGGGAATTGTCGAATTCGAGCCTGCACAAACCAGAAAAACCCCAAGGTACTGCGTGCTCGCAGCGGTGGACCAAGCCTGGAGACACAATCCGCAGACTGCAATCAAGGCGTTGGCAAAGATGATCGGACCCCTTATATGGTATTTGTCGCCCAGCCAGGCTTCGAAGTACATGCAGGCCGCGGCGAAGAAATTGGGTGGGGTGGACAGCACCTGCGAGACGCCAACACCGTAACCCATTTTCTGGTTCAGAATGATGGGCAGGAAGAAGGAGATCGAGTATGCCATCATGGTACTGCAGCTAGGGATTGGTGTCAGTGGTAGTCCTGAGACTGGTCGGTGGGTGGGGTTTACAAAAAGAGAATGGCAAAAAACCAAATCTTCATATCCAGCCCAGATCGAAGGAATTGACCCCAGCTGAAGGGCTCATGGTGGGCATCTCGGCGATCTCTCTCCAGAAGTCGGATCACGTATGCCAACTCGTCCGGGGTGAGGAAGTTCCTGCTGTTCTGTGCTTCTTGAGGGAAGTCCACGATCAGATAGGCTCCAATGAGGGCGATTGCGCAGGTGAGCACGCCTTCCCAGACAAAGATATACGTCCAGCCCAAATAACCGCCCACGCCTCCCATTTGCATGAATCCGTAGGCCATGACTCCGGAGAGGGAGCTGCCGACCACGCTGATAAGATAGAATGACGAGTAGCGCTTGTGCACGTCGTCTGCGAAACATCGAGAGTCAGAATGGGCCGATAGAAAGGAAGGGGCTGACTCACATCGACAGTACCACATTTGCAACAAGTACAGTGCCCCCGGGAAGAGGCCCGCTTCAAAGAGGCCAACAACCACCCGAAGGGCAGCCAGAGCTCCCCAATTCTTGACGAAGCCCATGCCTATCATGGTAACACCCCAGGCAAACGTGACAGCGGGTAAGAATATACGGGGCCCGATCTTTCGCGCCAGAAGGGCACTGGGCCATTGGAAGACGAGGTAGGGGACAAAGAACAAGAGAATGACCGTAGACTGGGAGTGTCAGCTTCAGTTTCACCGATGCTGTGCTTTGCGAGGCATACAAAACGGAATCCCACTTCCAGATGGAGTTGTTGCGCCATCCCGGCAATGTTGGCTGACCCCATGTTGTTGCGGTCCATCAACGACACAGCGAACATCAAGCCCAAGGCGGTGATGAGTCGCCGGTCGATCTTGTGCACGATCTTACGGCCTTCGGTGTAGGAGACGGGCTCAAGGCCATCCCCAGGATGGGCTAATTCAATTTGTTCAACCTTCTCGGCGTCGAGCATCTTGAACGCCATCTCCTCCGATGTCGAGGTGTCTGTCACAGTCTTCTGCATACTCACTCCTCAATGACGGTGGATGGTTTTTGGGGGGGATTGAACGGTAATGAGGGCAGAGGGTGAAAGGAAATGGTGCTGACAACGGGTTTAAATCCCTTGTTCAACTTGCAGCTCGAGCATTTCCTCCATACCGAGAGTTACCGAAGTGCGCCCCCATGGGACAAGAAGACAGTAGTGAACTTTCCTCCACAATTTCCCCAGGTCTTCGGTGGGTTGGGGTATCGACATTGGCTTCAGCCGAGCAGCTTCGGTTTTCGGTAGCTAGGACAGATCCCTTGAACTTACAGCTCTAGTGTTTCCTTAGCACTGAGAATTACCAAAGTGCGGTGCTGGGACGTCGACATCGGTCTTCAGCCGAACAGCTTCGGTCGTCGGTAGCTAGGACTAAATGAGAGGGGTCTTGAAGATGCAGGCCCATTCACACCTCGACTTGCCTCCTCGATGCTGATTATATAGCGTCGCCGTGAGGAATTTCGTAATTTTCAGTGTGAACCTCACTCACTGATATCCTGATTCACTGCTCGCTTAGGCTCGATAGGCTCCACTGCCACCGAGTATAACAATTCATCAACCATGTCGGCAGCGTGCTCTGGATCATCTGACAACATCTCCCCTTCGTTCGACGACACCGAGGACTTCACAGATGCAGACAGAGGTTTCATCACCTCGCTGAAACCATGCGTTGTCAAAAACGCTCGGGGCGACACCATTTGGAACAATGATGAGTATGATTTCGTCAACCAGCAGCCGTGCCCAACAACCGTCAATCCCAAGTTATGGCGCCAAGCTCAGCTACTCTCGAAGCAGGGATTGTATCGTATCAGCCCGTCCATCTACCAGGTCCGTGGCTTCGACATTTCGCACATCACGTTCGTCGAGGGTCACACGGGCATTGTTGTGATTGATCCCTTGATCTCGTGCGAATGTGCAGCTGCAGCATTGCTTCTCTACCAAAAGCATCGGGGCGACCGTCCAGTCAAGGCACTCATCTATACACACTCCCACATCGACCATTTTGGAGGCGCTGCAGGGATCCTAACCGATCGGCAAGCGGACGACAGCGTCCCCATCATAGCTCCCGAGCACTTTCTGGAAGAAGCCACTTCTGAAAATATTTTTGCTGGGCCAGTCATGCGCCAGCGGGCGACATTCATGTACGGCACCCAGCTTCCAAGATCTGCTCTCGGCCAGATTGGTGTTGGCCTAGGCATGGGCACCTCTCGAGGAACCACGAGCCTAATCCCGCCGACGGTTGACATCACCCACACGGGGCAAACCCTGACCATTGACGGTGTCACGATGGTCTTCCAGATGGTACCAAACACAGAGGCACCGGCCGAACTGAATGTGTACTTCCCCGACCAACGCGCCTTGCTGATTGCGGAATGTGCCACACATGCATTACACAACATTATCACTCTTCGAGGCGCTGTCGTCCGGGATGCCAAAGCCTGGAGCAGATACCTGGACGAAGCGCTGATGCTCTACTGTGAAGACGCCGAAACAGACGTCCAATTCGGTAGCCACAGCTGGCCCACCTGGGGCAACGACAAGATCAGAGGGTTCATCGAGGAACAAAGAGACCTGTATGCCTATATCCACGACCAGACGGTCCGGAGGATGAACCAAGGGTGGAATGGCACGGAAATTGCGGAGCGAATGGAGCTTCCGGCGAAGCTGAGACGGGCATGGCACACGCAGGGGTTCTACGGCAGCGTCAGCCACAACGTCAAAGGCATCTACCAGCGCTACATGACCTGGTTTGACGGCGCCGCCGAGAATTTGTGGAAGTGGCCACCGAAGGAAGAGGGGATCCGGTATGTGGCCTGTATGGGAGGAGCGCAAGAAGTGCTGAAAAAGGCCCATGCTTTCATGGACAGGGGTGATCTGCGGTTTGCCGCCACCCTCCTTGGTCACGCCGTGGCGGCTGGAGGTGAAGCAGACACTGACGCTGCCACGCAAGGGCAGTGCAGAGAAATGCTCGCGGTCGTGTTTGAGAAACTCGGCTTTGGCGCCGAGAACGCGACGTGGAGAAATTTCTACCTGAGCCAGTCGATGGATCTGAAAACGGGAAAGCCTTCTCGGGCCAAGAACGCATCTCGCCTGGCCCCCTTTGCGCCCGATCATTCGGTCGAGCAATGGCTTGGGAGTCTCTCCATTCGGATCGACGGAGAGGCGGCAGGGAAGGAGGAACGCATGCGACTGGATCTAAAAATGACGGACAGCAACGAACTCTGGACGCTCATCTTGAGCAATGGCGCGTTGACGTATCGACGCCGGGCAGAAGGACAGGACACCGATGTTTGTGGGAGTGGAGTTCGTCTGGCCCTGACGAAGGGCCAGCTGTGGCAGATCTTGAGCGGCTCGGCGAGTGTCGACGCGCTTGCAGGCGTGGAAGGCAACCTTGAACTTCTCATCAAACTGCTGTCATTTGCCTCGATCAACGTCGGTGTCCGAGAAAGAAAGTCGAGTCATATCTAGACAGCAGAGACAGGAATAGTATGGTACCCGTCTAGTTTAGCACAGAGGAGGAGTACCCGAGTCTGAAGCCAAGGTAGAATGGTAGTAGTCCTATCCATGGTACGTACGCTGGAGCCGAGAGTCCATAACAGTATATACCTGTTCCAGTGTTGGTCCCTGGATATTGAATACAGAGTTCCCGATACGTGGCAGCCGAGGCTCCTGCTTCGAGGGGACTGGAGTGGGTCAGTGGGCCCCGCGATATGGCTCCATCTGGGGCAGCCTTGTCCCTCTCCTCGTCTCTTGCTTCTTTTTTTATCGGAGCGACTGTGCGTAAATGTCCATCTCCACCGAGTGCATTTCTTCTTCTTTGGCCTTTCGTTCTTTCTTCCCCGGTGCTGTCTTGTATGGCTTCTAGCTCGGCCGAGCAGCTCAATCCTTCGAGCCCACCTCGGACGCTGCGTGACCGTTCGAGAGTCGTCTGCCACCGATGTCATTCTCGAAAGGTCAAGTGCGATCTGATCTCGCGATTGAGCACTGGCGCTCCCTGCACCAACTGCAACAAGCGCAACGAGCTGTGCCAGAGAAGACATGGCTCAAGGAAGCAAGCCACCCGACATGCACCAGATGTGCCGTCTTCTGGGCCAGCTTCGGATCCGGCCATGGTCGGGTCGCCGCCAATGGCTCCCTTGATAGAAGATTGCATTCAGAATATTTCAGAAGGCGATCAGAACGAAGGCCAGCATCACCACGCACAGCATTCCACCAACCCCGTGGGCACGATAGACGTTGGCTATCTTGGGGAGCACTCGCTCCTGTCCAATCATCCTCCATCGATGGCGGATGCTGGCGTTAGCCTGGGCTCGTTTGGCAAACCTCTCGAGAAACAGTGCTTCCAGGCGACTGAGGCGGACCGGTTGCCCCCTCAGTCGGCGATTGATGCCTCGGTCGCGGTCTACTTTCAGTTCTTGTACCACCGGGTCCCTGTCATCGACCATCAAGACCTTGAGTGCAACAGGCCCTCAACCCTACTATTGCAGACTCTGTGCTTCATCGGCTCCTTTCTTCGCCATCCTAAGTCGTCGCGGACTCTTCAGCAAACCGAGCTGCTGTACACGAGAGCCAAGATTCTGTTCTTCCTAAACCACGAGAATGAGCCCCTCGCTCTGCTCAAGGCACTGTGTTTCTTTACCCTCTGGAATGTGAGAGTTCCTTCGGTTGTTACGCTGGACTGCAGCTGGAACTGGCTGGGCCTCGCCACACGCCTCGCCACGCAGATGGGCCTCCACAGGGAGTCCACGCACTCGCGGCTATCAAACCCAAGTTGTTCCCGACGGATAGCCTGGTACGTCTATTCGATGGACAAGATGCTCTCCTCGTGCTTTGGCCGACCTCCAATGCTGAGGACAGACGAGTTCGACGTGCAGCCACTCACAGTGGCCGACTTTGATCCCACGACGCACGACCAGGCTCGTTGCTTTATCATTTACACGGAACTGGCCCAGATATCGGCCAAGATGCTGGACCTCCAACGCCGCGAAACGACAAGTGCAACCGCAGAGGTCTTGTCCGTGCTGGCGGATCTGAGGGCGTGGGCTCTCAATATCCCGACGAAGTTTGTGATTTGCGACCGTCGAGGCCGGATGATCTATCACCTGGCGCTGTACGAATTCCTTGCCTGTTATCTGACGCAGATTCTGACGTACTTCCACATCTTTGGGAAGCATTTTCAGCCATCAGTGGCTTCCCGTATCTCGCTGGTGGCGTCATCGTGCGTGATAGCCATCTATCAAGAAATCGACTATCGAGACCATATGAACTACCTAAGTGAGTTCAATATCTCGGTTCTTCCAACATTCTCCTCTCTTTCTCCCTCTGGCTTACTTTGTACCCTCGCCATATCCCTTGTATGATGATGTCTGCTAACCGAAGAATTCGAAGCTGCCATCAATAATTGGTCAATGATGGCTGCCTCTGTAGCTCAGCTCAACAACATCTCCAGGGAGAGCCAGGTTGTAAGCGCCGAAGCAGTTGCCTCTGGCGATCCTTGCGGGCGTTCATCGTCACTGCAAGAGCTCGATGCCCTCATCGACATCATTAAGCAACGGAGAGTCAAATTCCCGGGCGCGAGAGCCATTGTTCACAGAGTTGAGCAGCTGAGACAGGAGGTCCTCTCGCCCCGACAACAAAACAACGACTCCAGTCAACCCTCGTCAGCCCGAGCCTCCATCAGGCCATATCCGCAGTCCGAATCACGTCTGATGACGGCATCCGGCGCTCTGGCACCTGTATCAAACGTCCGCGAATTTTTTCCGTTTCCAAAGAGCTTGACACCCAGGCTCGAGCTGCTGGATGCCATAGAGGAAGAGTCCCTAGCTGAGACATTCTTCAATAACAGCCCCGACTGGTTTGACACGGAGAACCTCTTCGGCTTCGACGACATTAACCTGTCGGAGCTGGATGTGATCTGACTGTCATGGTTTGTCCCAATTTTTGAAGCCTGCAAGTCGTCCATTTGGACTTCAGACACGCTTTTTCGAGGCCAAGGGCAAGGAAGCGGGATTGAAAAGTTGAGGGCACTGCTTCAAGGGGACAGGAGCGTGGTCCACAACAGTACTTCATTAACCACTCTGGAACATGACAGATGGCAGAGGCTTTTGATCTGAAGGGGAGTGAACTCGCCCACGATGACAAGAAGCTTTGCACCTCAAGGAAAAGATGTTGAGACATTGTTTTGGGGCACAACAAGGAACAAAACATGCCCACCTGTATCTGCAGCTTCAGCTCCCCAATGCGCTACGTAGTGCCGCTCACAATCTCCATCCTCGACTAGATGTAGGTGCTCTGCCAAATTCACGCCGGCATCGAGTCCTCACTTGTGCCCTTTGCTGTTGATCTCCCTTCAACATGCTGTGCGCCGAGTCTGACGAGAATTGTCGCGCAAATGGGAAATTCAGGCACGTGACTGCGCGCGTCGTGTCAAAATGCACGCGACGGCGGTGCATACGTCATGATTGGCCCAGACCGAGTCTGCACAGTTCGTTCTTTTTGTCTCCAAAGTGCAAGGGAGCCAAAGCCACCATGCTATCATCGACAATCTGGCTGTCCATCCGGTCCGCTCAAAAGACCTGAGCCATCGTGCTCCGATCTTGACTGCTTTGCCCCTTCTCTATGGCCAAATTGCAGGCTGCCACCGTTTCGCAAATACCGGTCAATCGCAAACGGAAACGCCCCGCCAAAGATCAGGGACCACAGGAAACTGATCCTAGCCTCGTTCCCCCCATCGCGGCCACCACGAAAGTCCCCACGAAGACTCATGATGGAGGTTCCAAACCCAGAAGGTCGAAAGGCGTATCGACACCCGCACTCAGCCGAACAAGTTCGTCCTCAAGCCTGGTGGAATCAGAGGTACCATGGCCGGATCACTTCAAGTATCTATGCCAGCTGCACCGCGCCTTGAATATCGTATACACATTTTGCTGCACCCGGAAGCATTTTGCGACCACGTGGGACAACATCAAGAGTGCGGTGGAAGGCCACATCAAGAAGCCGTTGATTGAGGATGATGTGGCGCAGGTCAAGGCCTTGTTGCCCCGAGCCATCAATTTCGCATATGTCGACGAGGAACACCTGATGGTCACACTCATGGGCGAGGAAGATGGCGTCAGAGGTGGCAGAGCCGATCATTTTCGGTCTCTGGAAGAGGATGAGAGCGCTCCACGAGACAGGTCGGAGTTGTCCAAAGAACTTCTCCTGTTCGAGTTTGTGGATGGCGACTTGAAAAGACAGGTTGTCGATCCCAAGACGGGCCAACCCACAAAAGCGACCCAGAAGTTACGCAACGAAGATCTCAAAATACCCGTCTTCAGTCAGAAATCGATGCTCAAACTCATCGAAAAGCGAAACGCCAAATTCACATCGGCCGTCAATGCGTTCCTCAATCAATGTGCGGAGGAGCAAACAGACCCCGTTGAAAAGATACTCCAACTAAAAATGCAATATATGCCCTACCCCTCAACTAGTCGTCCTACGACACCCGGCCCAGATGCTCGCCTGCAGAAGGCGATCCCCAAGGAGCGGAAGTCAATATCGGACATTGTGAAGGAGATTAGCGAGCTCGAATGGTATACCGGTCAGATTGTCCCAGATGGACACCGTGTGTTCGATCCCCAGCCAGCCATCTATGGTGACCTGAATTTTCAATTGTCCCAAAACCTGGTGAATGCGCTGTACAACAGCAGAGGTATAACTCAGCTGTACTCGCATCAAGCGGAAGCCATCAATAATCTGCATGACGGCCACCATGTAATCGTGTCTACGTCGACCAGCTCGGGAAAATCGCTGATCTATCAGATACCAATGCTACACGAACTCGAGAAAGATCCAGAAAGTCGTGGGCTGTACATTTTCCCCACCAAGGCACTTGCTCAAGATCAGCGCAGGAGCATGAAGGAGCTCTTGAAGTACATTCCAGGATTGGAGGAGACTGTGGTCGAGACCTTTGACGGCGACACACCCATGCGGGCACGCAACCAGATTCGGGATGAAGGCCGCATTATCTTCACGAACCCAGACATGTTACACATTACTATTCTTCCCCAGGAGAGCGGTTGGCGACAATTTCTACAAAACCTGAAATTCGTGGTCGTGGACGAGCTGCATGTGTATAACGGTTTGTTTGGTGCCCATGTGGCCTTCATTATGCGCCGGTTGCGGCGAATATGTGCTGCGGTGGGAAACCGCAAGGTGAAGTTCATTTCGTGCTCTGCAACAGTGGCCAATCCAGAAGAGCATATGAAGACCATATTTGGCGTGGAAAAAGTCAAGTTGACGGATTTTGATGGTTCTCCATCCGGCAGGAAGGAGTTTATCTGTTGGAATACACCGTACAAGGATCCCGGCGATCCCTCGTCAGGCCGTGGTGATGCATTCGCAGAGACGGCGAGGTTAATCTGCCATCTCATTCTACGGGGGGTTCGAACCATTGCGTTTTGTCGCGTACGGAAGCAATGTGAGGTCCTGCTGGCGGCAGTCAAGGCCGAATTCACAAACCTTGAGAGACCAGAATGTGCTGCTTTGGTCATGGGCTATCGTGGAGGGTACTCAGCTCAAGACCGTCGGCGAATCGAGTCAGAGATGTTCGGTGGCAAGCTCATGGGGATAATCGCCACCACTGCTCTGGAGCTGGGGGTGGACATAGGATCCCTTGATGCGGTGGTTACGATGGGTTTCCCATACACGATTGCCAACCTGAGACAACAGAGTGGCCGCGCGGGTCGCCGGAACAGAGATTCGCTTTCTGTTCTTGTTGGTGACTGTTTTGCTGTGGATCAACACTACATGCAGAATCCCGACGAGATCTTCACCAAGCCTAATTGTGAACTCCAGGTCGACCTGCAGAATGAACTTGTCGTGGAAGGGCATATCCAGTGCGCTGCTTTCGAAATGCCCATCAAGGCAGACGAGGATGAGAAGTTCCTGGGCAAGATGTTGCCCGAGATATGCGCGGAACGACTGTCCTATGACCCTATGGGGTTCTACCACTGCAACGAAAGATTCCGACCGCTGCCCTCCAGATGTGTGCCCATTAGAGATACCGAAGACAATCACTTTGCCGTGGTCGATATCACGCACGGCCGGAACGTGGTGCTTGAAGAAGTCGAGGCCTCGCGAGCCTTCTTCACTTTGTACGATGGGGGAATATTCTTGCACCAAGGTCGGACATACATCGTGAAAGAGTTCTCACCTGAACGCAAAATCGCGCGAGTTCAACTCGTCAAGGTGGAGTGGACCACGCAGCAAAGAGATTACACAGACGTGGATCCAATTGAAACTGAGCAGGTCCGTCGGGTTTCAGCGAACTCCCTGACCAAAGCATATTTCGGTCGCATCAAAGTGCACGCCGTGGTGTTCGGGTTTTTCAAAGTCGACCAGAAGGGGCGTATTCTTGACGCGGTGGCTGTGGATAACCCGCCGATCATCATCCACTCCAAGGGCCTGTGGTTGGATGTCCCCAAGTACGCGCTGCAAATCCTCAAGGATAAACGATTGAATCTTGCGGCGGGTATTCACGCGGCAGAGCACGCATTGATGTCCCTCATGCCGCAATTTGTGGTCAGCATGCCTGGCGACGTTCGAACAGAATGCAAGAACGCGCTGAAGGAATTCGCAAAGAAGGAGACTCAGCGGAAGAGGCCTGCCAGGCTGACCTTTTACGATGCAAAGGGCGGGCCCGCCGGCTCCGGAATAGCGGCAAAGGCATTTGAATTCATCGACATCCTGCTCGAACGCGCCGTTGCAAGGGTTGCGGCGTGCCACTGCCTCGAGGGCTGTACGGAATGTATCTGCGACGAGAGATGCAAGGAGAAGAACATGGTCATGAGCAAAGCCGGTGCAGAAGTGATTCTGAAGTCTCTCCTGGGCATGGAAATCGACATTGATGCCCTGCCTGAGGGCGAGGAGGAGCGAGTTCCAGCCGGGGTGGAGACCGTGGTGTTTGCCACTGAGGTGATGGGTAGGGATGGGAGGAGGGTGCTTGAGAAGAACTTCATCAAGAGAGAAAAGAGTGATGACGACGCTATTATCATCAAGGATGAGCCCGAGGATTGACGTTCGTGACTCGAGTCTTGTGTATGGTATATGAATGATCATGACGACGCTTTTAAGGTTACAACGAACCAATGAATCAGGGGGTCAATGGCTCCAATTGTGTCCTCCAAATTTATCAGTCTATTTATCTATTTGGCGCAGGGGTGGGAGCATCCAAGCCCCTCGTCGCGTGTCTGACAAACGCCTCGGCCTCTCTCCTCACGCTGGCGATATTGATCGCCCCGGTCCCGTACGCCCTCGCCACGGCGGCCTGCACCTCTTCATCCTCGTACAGGCTGTCGTCGTTGTCGTCCACGGAGGTGCCGGCGCCGCCGCCGCCAGGTTCGGTCGAGCCCTCCACGGCGACCACGGCGCGCCAGTACGCGTCGTCGCGGTCCTTGAGGGCCGGGTTCCGCACCACGGCGTTGCGCGCGATCGAGTACGCCCGCAGGTTCGTCGCGGCCATCTGCAGCGCCAGGTTGGCCTGCGTGAGCAGCTCGTCGGTGCGGCGCCGCGCCAGTTCCGGGTCCGCAGCTGGGCCGGAAGAGGAGGTCGGGAACAGGTAGAACCGCCCCGTCGCGGAGGCGTAGATGCAGAGCGCCACCAGCGCGTCGAACGCGCACAGGCTCAGGTACCGCGCCGTGCGGGCGACCCAGAACGTCCCCGCCGGCGCGGTTGTGCTGGTCGCCACGGCCGGCGCGTACGTCGATGTCAGGAACAGGTCGGTGCCGGCGAGGGCGAGGGCGCCGAGGATCGCCCCGCGCCGCCACGTCGAGGCCTCGTACCCCGCCACCGTCTCCGAGGTCGCGAGCCCCAGGCACAGGATGTGGAGGAGGTGCGGGAGCACGGTGTTGGTCGGCAGGTGGTACAGCAGGTACGAGAACGGGTCGTCCGGGTGGCAGAACAGGCAGTCGCGGAGCGTCGAGGGCCCGAACCGGAGGTACAGTTGACGGAGGCTGTCGATGTATTGTGTTGGTTAGATTCATCACGTCATAGCCAACATAGACTGGGGAGGGGACCACGTACGCTGGAGAAGTCAACTTGGCCCTCAAGGCCTCGTCGGCGGCCGAGAGGACCCTGTTCTCGCGCAACAGCGCCAGCCGCTCAAAGAGCACGTCCGTGGGGATCGACAGCCGTGACTGTGTGGCCACGAACACATTGTGGTCCGCGACGTCGCCCTTCAGGGGCCACGACGCGTAGAGGAAGACGCAGATCGAGGCGAACAGCGCGTTCACCCCGCGGCTGGTCCGTTTGGGGAGCGGGCGAGGCGGCGGCCTGGTGCGGTACGCGGTCTTCAGGGCGCCGTAGTAGTTGATCGCTCGCGGGAGGACGAACGTGAAGAGGAGAGGCCAGAATGGCTTGATGCTTTTGGTTGGAATCCCCAATCGAAATGTTACTCATTTTGTACCCTTTCTCTTCCAGGCTCTGTGGTGCGACTGAACCTTCTCATTCGAGGGAGCAATTGGGGGATGAAGGGGATGAATGGTGTAAGATCGGGAGGCGTTGGGGGGAATCGACTTACCTGGTCCACAGCGTCATTGCTCCGAGAATGAACGGTCAAGCGTCACATTAGGAGAAAACAGAAACTGAGGCAGAGATTGAAAGTCTTTGTCGAGTTCTATCAACTGACTGTCTAGTGGGTTGGTATCTAGGGGTTTCGCTCTGTGAGGATGTCATGAAACTTCATTATTCGAGGTCAACCAGGGTGCGGGAAAAATAATACTCCGAGAACCGACGAGGCTGTGACATAGCATTGCAGCCTCGCAGGCCGACCAATCGTTTTTACCATATATCGAGGCACATGAAAGCCTTGCACATGCGTTCAACAGCCCAGAATTAGGCGGAAAGGAGAACAGACAGCATGACACGTTTGCCCTTTGAAGAAACAGCGTGATATACTACCGCCCTATCTGGGCATGAGCCACCGCGCATCCACCGGCGGACCACGAGGCAGCAAGCCAAGAGGCTCCCTTCTTTACGTTACGCCTTGGAGTCAGTATACGCCAGAATGCGACTAGACACGTAACAAATAGCACAGTAGACACGCCAAGTATATCTTTGCTTGGTTAGATGATGGGCGCTGGACAAGATGTGGGAGCCGCTGCCAAACTGCACAGGCAACTCCAGATTCCAAACACTCCTCGCAAAATGCGTCTCGCACAAACTCCTCGCTAAGCCTTTCAAGTCGTCATGAGCGTGGGAAGGAGCTCTTGTGGCGTTATCCAATTGCAGATCCAAGCAGCTCTTCTACCCAGCTTCAGACTGGGTCATTTACTCTTTGCATTGGCTGGCCCCGAATCGGACTTCTTGGCTTCCGCTGTCACGCGTGTCAGTAGACAGCCCCATGTATGCAGACTGCAGTGGCGTTGCGATCCCACCTTTTGCTTGTTTCTCCCGCATGATGGCCGCTTGCGCTTCTTTCGTCCGCTGAAACTCGGTGCCGGACTGCGTATTCTTCTTTTTCTGCGGCCGAACCCACGTTAGTCTAGTTCTGTAGCACTATTGCAACTGTCGAAAGGCGCAAATCTGAGGGTGAGGCGCTTCGAACCTGTCCAGCCTGATCCTTGAGATTCTTCTCGCGAGCCTTTTCTCTCTGATTCCCTCGAGTCATGGCTGCGAAAGGTTGGGGACGGTCGAGTCTCCGGTTCGCGGGATGGCGGGGGTTCGAGAAATGGAAGTCGTTGAGGTGTTGCTAAGTATCAGCGAGGAGTATGAGGAGCAGGAAGACAAAGAGAAAAAAACAGGTGGTGAGGGCCTGAGGCGTGAGATGAGCCTCGCGGAGAGCCGCAGTTTCTCGGCAAAAAGAAATCGCGCACCGATGCAGCCTTGGCCCGACAAGGCTGTGTCTTTGCCTTCTCTCATACCTTCATCTTCTTCACTAACGCGTCAATCTCTTGAACTCACGCTGATGATCATCTCTGTTGTCAACAATTGAGCAGCCGTCTGATCATCGACAGACTGCTCCCCCAGAATGCGGCATAAGGCTGTGGCAATACCTGAAATGCGCCCGGCGTCAAGGGCCGCAAAAAAGGAAACGGGCCCTCAAGCGCGTTTCAGATTCTGCCAACCCTTGACCAGCATTCAACCACAGCCACTCTTTCACCTCTCCTCTCCCCGGCCTGAGGAAGACATGGAATCTGCAGCAGCTGCATGATTTTGGACCGAATTGGGCATCACTTGACTCGATCTCTCGGGACAATGCCACAGGTGAGAGGGCCTTCGTTTCTGAAACTGGGTTTGAAGACTTCTCAGACGGTACACACCATCTGACCAATAGACACGTCTTTCCCGTGAGTGTCGCATCTCAGATACTACAGCTTCATCTCGCGCTCGCGCTTATGACGGTGGTGACTCTGAGACTTTCTCTCTCCGAGATCAATGGGTTGAAGATCAAAAAGGCCCGTTAAAGAATGCTGCCGCTACCTCCTCTGATGTTGGCCACCACTCGTCTCTTTCCATGTACATTCACTTCTATTGATGCTCCGGCTACTCAATAGCCTGCTGTCATCCTATTGTTCTATTCATCCCAGCGTTCGAGCCAGTTAATTGCGCCTACAAATATTCTTTCCAATCCAAGTCCTGAACCCTTTCGTGATACCCAGTCCTGGCAATAATCATCATTTTCCCCCAAAATCTACACCAAGGATTTCAACCGACTTAATCAAGATCCAATCCGCAACATGCGCTTCTTTGGCAAAACCCTGGCCGGCGCCGGTTACGTCGTGCTCAACATCATCCGAGTTATGAACATAATTGCCCTTTTGGCCGTCATAGCGGCGAGTTCGGTCATGCTGGTCAAGACCTTCATAGTGTCAAAATTTTTCTTTTTCGACGCCTGCGAGCACGTTCTTCGGGTCGTCATGAGTGGTATGTGCCCGCATTGTGAAGGGGCGGATGGGATGTGGTGCTAAGAGATTCCAGGATTCCTCATCCTCACCGAGCTCTCTCTCTTCAAGTCCTACTTCTCCAAGAATTGGCCTCTTTTCAGCACCCGCTCGAGTTTTGTCATGCTCGGCCTTGCCATGATCTTCCTTGGGAACAGTCTTCTTGGGAACCTCAACAAACACGCCACCAGTCAAGAAAGCCTGGGTCTGCCATTCTGGCGGCTTGTGATTGCCGCGGGGATCATTGTGTTTGTGATGGGCTTTATCAATCTCTTTGCAGTAAGTGGACTGGCTTCAAGGAATCACAGAAGTCGATGATCCTAACGCATGTTGATGCAGAGCTATGTTTTCAGAGATACCAAGGCGCATCTCACGGCTCGACAGGTGCGGTCGCATGGGGCGGTCGCATCACACAAAGCAGACGTGGAAGCGTCGACTCCGAAACCGCCGAGTCGGAAAAGTCACTATCGGTCGTTCTTCCTGGGCAAACGAGATTCCCTGCCCTCATACTATTCTCGCAAGAATACGGAGCGCGCCAACATGGCCGAGACACCCAAGATGCATCTGGCCATTTCCAGTCCCTTCCCACAGAACCAGCCCCTGACTCGCGCCGCCCAGAGTCCCGGTGCAGCCAGTTCCAAGTACAGCCAAAGTCCCAAGAGTGAGCGATATGCTATGAGCCCTGAAGTCAACCGGCCGGATTTGGCGCATCATCCCGCTATGACACAAGGCCATGCTATCTGAGAAGGCTTGCACAGCGAAGGAGGTGAGAACGGGGATCAGAGCATATTTGAGATGTAAAGATGGAATACGATGATCGTATCGATTGATCTCCACATCATTTACACTCTCGAGTCCTCCAGCACGGACGAGAGGGACCAACAATCAAGGCCGTGCATGTTTTGCTATTTTTGATTCTTGCAGCAGATACCCAGACCCAGGCGGCAAGAAATAATCAGACAGTGATGAGTTACGAAACACCGATCAATCCATGCATTGGTCAACCCGTTCTTGATGTCTTCTCCCACCCAGCAGCGGCCAGCCCGGCTGCCTGTCTGTTTGCACAAGCCTCGTTATTGCTGAGAGGCCCAGGGAGTCTGTCAGTTGTGGTCCATGGAGTTAGTCAGACGGAGAACAAAGCCGTGAAACCGTCGGGCACTGGCAGTCGGGGAACTTGCGCCCCTAGGCCTCGAATCGTCTCTCTTTGGGCGTGCGTGTTGTAATATCTGTCGTTGACTCAGACGGGCTCGACCCGATCCCCCTGCCCCTCTTCTTGTCCTCCATCTTCGCAATTTGCCACACGCTTTCTCTGGCCTTGTCCCGTCTCCCCCATCTTCCCCTCCTCCCTGCCCACCGTAACTAAGGTCCTCTCTCCTATCCCGTGCCATCTTGGAAGGGCTACTCCCTAAGCTTGCATGCATGAAGAATGGCCCTTGAGGAGCTCTCCAACTCCACCCCCTTCGCCTCCTATGGGCCGCTCGTTCTTGGTACAACTCCTGGCCCCCTCTCTACCTACGCCCGGGTTGTACGCCCCCATGCACCAAGTCATGTACCTCTCCAGATCAGGACATCTGGCTACCCAGCAAGGCAGTCTGAGCTCGATTTCATGTTCCAGCAATGCGAAATCGCCACTCAGGTGGGGTATCGGCCTCGGTCAAGCTTTTGTTGCTTGCAGGCCATCCCATGCATTGGGCTGGACAAGTTACAAGGTACAAGTCAGAAGTACCCAGTCTCGGCCAGGGGGGGGGTTGTGGCGAATGAGGTGCCACGCCTCCGCGCTTCTCTGGCAGGGAAGAGGGTGAGTAAAAGCGAACAGCAATACATGTTGTGGGTGTTTTCTTCTATCGACCTACAGTACTGACGAGATCTTTCAAGGAATTCACCCTGCGAGAGGAAATCAATCTCCCACGGACAGCGCAGACGAGGAACGGAGGATCCAACCCAGCAGCCGAGCCCTTCTTCGACAGTGTCCCCCCACGAACCAAGTCCTGATGACCCCGCAGACGCGTTCAGCTGGCCCAGCTGCCCAGGGTGAACGCTGCGAGGCAGGCAGATACGGGCGATAGAGGGAGAGAGGAAGAGCAGCAAGGCCTAGACAGCTGGCAGACACAAAGCGACGGACATGTTCGAGGTCCAGCTGCCAGGTCCAGCTCCATATCCACCGAGGCACCTCTGGCGTTCTTGTCGCCCCAATAATCACGCTCCACGGCCTCGTTAAGATCCACAAAAGGTACGTACCACCTGCAAGAGGAACAGCGTGCAGCTCGCGGGCAAGAGAACCCACTCCTACACCCCCTCGCTCGCCTCTCCCCCAGTCCATCACATTCCCATCCCCTCTGTCTCTGATTCAGCTTCCTGCACGGCCTCCCACGCTTTTCGTTCGACCCATTCACCATAACCTTTCTTTAGCACTTTCTTGAGGGGGTGGGTGTTGGTCTTGTCCTCTTTATTGGGTTGACGCAGAAGCAGAGAGTCTTCCTCCTCCTCCCCTCCATCTTTGCCTCTCTATCAGCCACCAAACCCCTCCATGGCCGCCACCACCACCACCACCACTACCGCCTTCACAAAACTACGGCTCGACCCTCCTCTCCCTCCCTCATCCCGCCTCAGAGAGCCGCATCAGCTTGCCTCTTTGCGGGTTTCCGGCTCGTTCTGCCCTTGACATGTGAAGAGGAGGGAAGACACAGGCCACACATCCCGTCCTTGGTATTTGCCGTCCCTGGAGTCCCTCTAAATGGTATCATAACATGTACCTCGTACTCCGTATCCGTTCCGCCATTGGGAGGGCAGCCCAGTCATGACCATCCACCAACGATTTTGCCACTCGTCCCCTCCCTCCCATTCCTTCCTTCAGAAGGGGGCTTGGACCTAGACTATGACTAGTCACGCACCCACTCGTACTCGCTTTGGGACTGTTCGCCACCACCACACAACAAAAAGTGTGTACTTTCTTTCTGATCGCCTGCACACTTACCTTGGACCTGAGGACCATTCCTTGTTCATCACTTCTCCTACAACGATGGCTCGTGCCGTACACACTCGGGGGAACTGTATAGTTCTGCACGACGGGTTGTTGTTCCATGTACATACTGCGACAGCTGGAACTTGCAATCTACGCAATTCATCACCCCTCACCAGCACATAACCTTTACCGGAAACAAGTTCCCCCCCAAACCTCCCCCCTAAGGATCCAGGTCTTTCTTCTGCCCGCCACCCACCCCTTTGGATTCTGGGCCTTCATGTCTCGAACAACTCAAGTTACCCGCTAAACAACCCAACCCAAGTACCTCTGAATGGTAGCAGCTGGCGAGGATTTTGTTTTCCTTTTGGCAGAGTGGGAGTCGGCCAATGTGATTGAATGGATACCTACTGAGGTAAGATAGGTATCTAGTAAGACTAAGTAATGTAGAGTGAGAGAGGGCAGACTGTTCTGCGTACCGAGCACATTCTACTCGTCCATTTCCGAGTGCCTCTGCCGGGGCGCGTAGTCCCCTAGGCCGCAGTCTGGTCTGCTGGGGAGAAAGAGCCGCATCCTCCACCAACATCCCCCTCCCATCATTCGGCTTTAATTCCTGCTACCCTCGCGATTCTGTTCGTGTACGAAGACGTGAGACATTCAAATCTCGTGGCCGCTGTGGTCTCGCATGTTACCCGAGATGATTCCTGTTGCTGGTAGTGGTTGTATTCTGTATTCCTAAACAAAACCTGGATATGGGATCGTCAATATCTGAGTGAGAGTAAAACATCAAACTATGTAGCCCTTTGGTCACCCCTGTTTGAACCTGGCGAGCGCTCCCCATATTCCACGGACCAACATAACAATGCAATTCGTTTATCTCATTACTTCGTCCCTTCCCTTCGTTGGCACAAGCCCAGGCGTCCAACATTTGTCCCCATGGTTCTCGTCGCCATCATCACAGCATTCGTTACCAGCGGCCGTTAAAACCCAGCGTCAAATCCATCACGATCGGTCGACCCGGATGCCTCCCTCCAATCTATTCCCCACCCACCTCGCTCCGTCTCTTGCGCTGCTTCTCTTGCGCTGCTCCTCCTGAATCACTCTCAAGTAAACATCCAGCTCGTCCTCCTCGCCGAGGGGCTGCGGCTCTTGCTCTTCTCGCGAACCACATACATTCTGTCTCCCTTCTTCACAAAGCCGTGGTCGTTCGGCGTGAGCGTCGTGATCGTCTTGGTCTCCTTGACGTACGGCCCCGTGATGAGCTTCCTCTCCTTAATTTTGCGCGTGTGCTCGAACAGCTCGTCCTGCAGCGAGTGATCAATGTATTTTTTGATGATGATGAATTCCTCGTCGCGCTGCACCGTCACCCAGGCGGGAGACGGAAGAGTTAGCAATGGCAACAGACATCCCAATGGGTTACACATGGCTTTTTTGTGCTCTTGGTGATGGAGCGTGAGGAGAGGACAAACGGATAAGAGCAGCGGAGACAAGGCGGAAGGTGTAACCAGGAAGAAAAAAAGTGAGTGGTACATACCGGATCCCATTCCCAGGGTAGCCCGTAATGATCGAGTGTATCCGGAAGGAGATATTTGCGGTTGACTTTAATGTAGGTCGGACGGTGGAGGTCGATTGCCAGGGTTGCACGCTCGGCTTTCTTCTTGTGGAGCACTTCGTCAATGTACTCTGGACTGTAGCCTGTAATTCCCAAAAAGAGTGACACAGATTAGCCTGATGCTCAGTCCAGAATCAACCCATTACCACGTCGACCAAACCCATCCTCCAAAGGAATGACGCTCGTCCTGGGACCACCGCAAGTCTCGTTGAGACCTGTGCGTTTTGCAGCGGACGACTAATAGTAACCGTAATAGTAGCGATGGGGTCTGCGCATACCAGCGTTCATGAACTTCTCCTTGACCTTGCGCTCAAACTCGTCCTCCTCGGCCTTCTTCTTCTCCTTCTCCTTCTGCTGACGCTCTTCTTCATCCCGGAGAATCTTCTTCCTCAATTCATCTTGCTCCCTCTTCTTCCGCTCCTCCTCCAACTTGGCCTCATAGAGGATCGCCTCTCGCTCCTTCTTCTTCCGCAAGGCATCTTCCTCCTCTTCTAGCTTCCATCGTCTCCTCTCCTCTTCGCGGTCTTTCTTTATCCGATCCTGGATCCGCTTTTCCTCCTCCTCTCGGTGTGACATGCGGGCGAAGTCGAGTTCTTTTCGGAATTTGTAAGGGAGATCGTCTTCCTCGATTGGCTGTTTCTTGGGCGGCTTGTGGCTGGAGGGACGGCGGTGTCGTGATCTGGAGCGGTCGCTGGAATAGCTGGAACTGGAAGATCCGTCGCGGTGTCGGTGGTGGTGGTAGTCGCGATGACGGCTTCGACTCCGACTGTGATCGCGGTCACGATCGCCTCGCTCGGAGAGGGCACTTGTACCTATATTGACAATGGTAGGTGCCACGCCCGCGCCTTGGCTGGAAGCACGAGGGCGGGTTTGTGGCACCTCGAGGAAATTGTTGACCTCAATCGGTGGATCATAGGCACGGCGGCCTCGTCCTCCATATTCGCTGCCTGCAACGCTGTGCACTGGCATCAACACATATTCCCGGTCAGAGCCTGACGAGCGTCGGGACCAGGCCATGGTGTTTTCAATTGCTGCCGTTTTCCCCTCCAACTAGCGCACTTTTCAGCCCTGGCACAGAAGGAACGGGAACAAATCGTCGGGACGGTGGCGGTGGGGTAAACGCCCGATTGCGATGGGTCTCTGGGGGCGCAACGGTCACAACGAGGTGGCTGAAGGACAACGTCCAAACGGCTAAACAAGGTTCCAAGCTGGCGATAAAGGTGTCGATCTTTCGTCGTCGGGGAACTGCGAGGGACAGAGAAGGAGAAAATCAGTCACCGTAATTCAGCTCGGTGGTGGGGAGGCTGCTTGCTTTTATCGTTTTCGTGCTGCAAGCCAGCGCCGCCAATTTGAGCCTGGATCGCAGCCCACCAGCCCACAAAACCAAGCTTGGGGGCCGAGCGGACCAAAATGGTCGACTGTCATGTACGGTATGCTGGCCATAGCTGAGTCAAATCCAGAACCCCGTCGACCCAATCACCGCCTGTCCAGCGAGATTTCAGGCTCGTAAAGCCATTGCAATTCGTCTGAAACAGATCACGAGGTCGTACCGCAGGCCCTGTCGTGTGTAATAGTCTGAGAAGTGTTTGAGCATTCTCCTGAACTCGAAGACCTTCAGATGGCTATGGCTGGTGATTCGAGAAAGGGGCGGATATCTATGTTAAGTACAGAGTACTCCGTATACAGAATGCTTCCAAAAGTTCGCAGCCGGTTTCAACCCCTAGGCCTTAGCAATTTGGCGGCAACGAACCGCAATCGTTTGTGGGCCTGGGGAGGCCTGAATGCACGTCTAGTCAAACATGCGTCACTCGACGTTCCTAGTTTCGGTGCAAAAGGTGATCTTTTGCTCGCCTCATAGGGTCCCAAGAGCATCCGATAGTCCCCGTGATACACCGTAAACTCGCTTTGGACCCCCCACAACTGTCAGAGTTACCCAGCGACCGTCGCCTGAGGCAAGCTCAAGCGGTGTTAGCTAGAGTATGGCGGGCGTCTTCCGTCTGCCCAGCGTTCTGTCTTGTCTGTTGGGTCAGCGGAGTGCCTGTGCTCGCCAGGGATCCTGTAAGAGACGCATTTATTCATGACAGACAAACTCATGTCTTCCGTGGCAAAATATCCAAATTTCGGCGGTCAGCACGAGTGGCGCCCATACTTATCAGGATGTAATCTCAAGTCGAGGGTTCCGCATCAGAATTCTTCTCGCGATGTTTTTGTGATTTGTGGTCCTTACGGAGACTGAGCGACACAGCCAATGGGTCCAACTCCATCCGAAGCCCGATCCTCTGGGGATAATGCCGCGCAGGAAAATGGTGGAGGAACAGCTCGGTCTGGGAATCTGCTATCCATACGACATATGAGTTGGCTTTCGGGCAATTTGGCCTTCGTAGATACCAACCATTCGCGGAGGTCTTGCTTTGATGAAGAGCATCACGATCGACCACCACCAGTCTGCAAGATCTTCTCAATGTGCTGTCGACTATTTTTGTATGTCGTCTCTTGATAATGCAATTTCTTCTCCAGCTCCGTAATATCCTTGCTCAAAGCGGCCGCCTCAGATGCCAGACGCTTATTCAGGGTTGTCGAAGGGACAGCGATGAACCTGAGTAACGGGAGGGTCAGAGAACCAGCAAGCCGTTGGGGGGAGAGTCGCATACATTTTCCCGACCCCTTCATAGACGTTGGTGTCTGGGGACAGGGATTTCAGCTCATTGGACGTCAGTTGATTGAGTCGGGCATCTCGTCGTTTGGCACTGAGTTCTGCCTGTGTCTGCGTGATTTTTTGCTGGGAAAGCACGGCTTGAGTCTCGACTTCTTGGAGCAACTGCGAGTGGTGAGCAGGAAAAAAACGAATTGTCCAGGGGTGAGAGCAGACCTTCTGCAATGCGGCATTGGGGATGGCCATGATGAACGGGCGCGAGGTGCCAGGTAGTTGAAGATGAAGTGCAGTTTTGAGCCTCAGTTCAACTAACTTAGAGGATTACGGTATCCGCGCCCAGAGATACCTACCCAGGTAGGTAACCTTTGACTACGCGCCCGTCCTACACGGGGACGAGGGGCAACTGCCGAGGGGCTGCTTGATCTGTTAGGCTTTGGCCTCCCGAAGTTTAGGTGGCGAGGGGTTGGCTAGGATCTTCCTCGGGGGTTTCGAGCCGTTCAAGCTTGGACTTCCAGGCACCTCTTCACGTGTCAGGGCAGCAAATGATCTGCCTGAGGCTTCCCCCTTGGGCCGTTTTGCTACTCCCTAGCCATGCTGCATTAGGCAAGGCGACGTCATCTGGGTGTCATTTGCCTGCCCGCGAGATAAACAAGTTTATCGCTGCTGCTCCACTGCGAACATTTTTGTGCGTTGTAAGCCCTCGCCTTGCTCAACTGCGAAACCCACCCCTTCCATCCGCATCCGTAGCCACCACAGTAGTACCGAGTACTCTGGCACGAGCCTGTACCTCTTAAACCTTGGGAAGTCCCGTTTGGTCGCTATGCAATCGCCTTGATCCCAAGCCTCGAGACCACCGAGAAATCTGCACAGCAGCTCCCCCGTTGACAGGATGCCCGCATGGCTTCCCTCCGTTCCATATCCCCCGCCAGGCCAGCCGGGATACTGGCATCCCGTCACGAGCACTCTACAGTGGTGTGAAGAGGTACGATGAATACTGTCCTCAAGGAGAAAACTCCGAAATATCAAGACTGACACGAGCAGGACTACTATGCCACCTACTACTCTGCCGAGATCATCAACACTCTGACCAACCTGATGTTTATCTACCTGGCATACAAGGGCGTTCAGAGCTGCAGAAAACATGGTCACGATACTGTATTCCAAGTCGCATATTTTGGATATTTCCTTGTTGGATTCGGAAGCTTCATGTTCCACACCACGTTGAAATGTGAGTCCATGCTGCGCACTCAACTATCTTGCCTTTCTCGATCGATAGACCTGACCCGATCTCTGTCTCCAGATCCGTGGCAACTCGTCGACGAGCTCAACATGATCTACACCACCTGTCTCATGGCCTTTGCCTCTCTGTCCTACTCGCAACCTAAAAAGACACAAATCTATCTTGGCGTCTTCTTAGTGTTATTCTGTGCCTTCATTACCGCCTATTATCACTACCTTCAAGATCCCGCCTTCCACCAAATTGTCTACGCGCTTTTGACCGTCTTCATCGTCGTCCGCAGCGTCTACAGCATGGAAACGAGTCTGCGACCTTCCTTGAGGAAGTCGGAAGAAAAACACCGTCTGGAACGAGAAAGATCGGGCCTGCCAGTTGAGGTTTCGAGAGAACAACAAGAGTATGAGAATAAAAGAGACCTGGAAATACTGAGGACCATGTGGTGCCTTGTGGCGTTTGGGGTGAGCATCTTCCTTGGCGGCTTCTACATCTGGAATCTGGACAATCAGTACTGTTCCACCCTGATCCGTTGGAGGCGGAACATCGGCATGCCGTGGGGCTTCTTCCTTGAGGGGCATGGCTGGTGGCATCTCATGACCGGGGTCGGGGCTTATTGCTATATTGTCTGGGGCATACATCTGCGACACATTCTGAACGGAGATCAAGAACACTTCCAGATGATCTGGCCCAACTTCTTCACGCTGCCGGAAATCGTGCGAGTTTCAGATCCGCCGAGAGATGGCAGCAAAGAGGCCAACGGTACTATCGCTCTCAACGGGAGTGCCAATGGGAGTGCCCATAGGACGGCCAACGGGAGTGCGAACGGAAGTGCGAACGGGAGTGCAAATGGACATATCAAAAAGAGAAATTGAGATTTACGAACATGTTAGGATACGAAAATGGAAGACTTTGTTGGCTTAGACACTGAGAGGACTCTTCTTCTCTCCTCACGTCCTATTTTTCCACCCTCCCCTCCTCCATATTGAAGTGCCGATGGCGTACCACGTCGGACCCTTTGACCGGGAATCTCGGATGCGTTCGACAAAGACATAAGACCTTGCGCTCATGTTGGGTACTTGTGTAGACCGTCATACTATGCACAACGTCACCAATCTAGAACAAAGGCTTCCGGGAAGCCCCACAGGCACCGGCGGTCCGAGTGATCTCCGGATGGACCGGCACAAGGCTGTTTATTCAACGTCCTTTATCCTCCCAGCATCCTAGCTTCTCCTGTGACGGAGAACTTGTGTACGTACAGCAGGCGCAAGACTCGTTCGGCCGGCAAGCTCAGATCCAATGGGACGAAACTCGAGCTGCCGGCCGAGCCAGCCAAGGGGAACTCGTCTAGGCACGCGAACTATATATCCAGAGTGTGGAACCCCGCAGCCTTGCGCTCGCCGTGCAAGTATAGGAGATGTGTTCCAGGCCGCCAGATGTAGACGGACACAAGTGATTACGCGCTACAGTGTGTACGGTCCCTGACCACTTCGACAGCATTACCACGAGGCAAGATGGCCAGAATGCTCTGGGGGGAGACCTACTCTTCTCCCTCTTCTGATGCAGGCAAATTGGCTTAAGGGGTGTTTGAGAAAGACGCCACTTTGGAATGGCTCTTTGGGGCGAGACATGTCTCATTTACATTGGTTCTGTGTGGCCCCTTGCCAAGTCGAAACCCATCGATATCCCCCCAAAAAACAAAAACAGAGCGATCCTCAATATCAGAAGGCGGAGAATGAAGAAATAGTACCCAGAGCTGACACATCGGAAGACAAAAATCCGTCAAACCTCAAAAACGCCGCCGCAAGTCGGAATGAGGCCCTATATCCCAGCACCATCCCCTTGCAATGTCGTCATGCCTCCTCAAAAAGCCCTCGCATACACGGCGATTGACAGCTGAGATTTGCCGCAGAGGCCCACGCTCTGCCCGTAGCAAGGCACACAGTTGGACATCAGGGTTGCGGTGCCGGTGATCGCAGCGCCGCAGTAACAATCAGCCGTGCTCCCCGAGGAGGCGCTGACTGTGCCGAAAAAGTTGGCGCCGTTCTTTGTGATGCAAATGCTGGCGCACTGCGCGTCGATATTGGCGGTCGAACTGCCTGTGAGAGTGGTATTGAAGCCGCCATTGGTGCTCGCGCTGTCGAACCCATAGTTTCCCAGTGCAACGCACGTGCCGACGGAGTTGCAGCCTTGCGCCCAACATCCGAGATAGGCGAACTGGATCGCGTCGGCGCCTTTTGGTCCTGTCGCGCCCGTCGGGCCGGCAGGTCCTGAAGGGCCAGAGGGACCCGAGGGACCAGAGGGACCGGTCACCCCTGTGGGACCTGTAGGGCCTGTTGGACCAACCGGACCGGAAGGACCAGAGGGGCCAGCGGAACCCGATGGACCGGTCACTCCCGTGGGACCTATTGGACCAGCTGGGCCTGATGGACCTGATGGGCCAGACGGCCCTTGAGCACCAGTGGCACCGGTCGCTCCTACAATAATATAAGTGAGCAGGACGCAACAAGAAGATGGCTAGGGCTTCTTAGGTATAACATCAATTCGCTTTCTCAGAGTGACTTACCGGTAGCTCCAGTTGGGCCTTGGAGACCCTGGCTTCCCTGTATTCCTTTATCGAAGCGTCCGTCAGTATGTCTCTCTTTCGATAAAGTTCGAGGAAGGACAACGCAGTCCAAATCCGTCATCAAGACCATTGATCAGGGTGTTTTTTCTGCATAGTTCGTCCGACACTTTCCGCTAAAAGTCTACTAGACAAGTGTCGAACTCGGACTCCTTCGCAGGGAGAGGGCTTCGCTCTCGTGTCATTTTGATTTTTCTGGTGTGCAAAATGGACATATATTTATATTCGACATTAGGGAATAGTACCTTGTAATCCTTGAACGCCTTGTAGTCCTTGCGCACCTGAATAGACATTGTTAGTCATCTATGAACAACGGCACACCTAAATTGCGGTGGATGAGGAGGTCTCCTTACCAGTGGCACCTGTTGGACCTGCTGGGCCGGTGGGGCTATCGACGAAAGAAAAATCAGCATAAGAACATCCGTAGGCTTATGAGTCGTTGAAGGTCGGGCGGTATTCGACATCGAATTGCTGTTCCGACCAAGGGAAGGCTGGACTCTGCTAGAGCCAGACACGGGGCAAAATTCGACGGAGACTAAAAGAGCCACTTACCCGGCCGGTCCTATGAGGCTGTCAGCAACCAAACCAGCGCTGGTGAGCTCGAATCTTACCAGATGGCCCGCTTAGTTGTGGAGCTCCTACAGCAGCGGCGCAGCTACTGACTCTTGTCATGCTCAAGCTCACAAAAAGACAATCGTCAGGCGCCAGCAACGGGTCGCTAAAGACAGCCACAATTGTATTGTCCGGAAGGACACAAAATCTCGCCCTGTTGTTGTAGAACGCAGAGTTACTCCACATGAGGTTGTTTTGAGTGTCGACGGAAAAGGCGGTGGTGATGTCTCCAGGACTTGCGCTGGCTGTAAAGTTCGCATAGGTTGTGCCAGAAGTGGTGCCGAACTGCAAAGCGCCTGCACTGGAGTTCGCAAACAACTGCCCATTGACCAGGTTGTAGACGACTGCATTCTGGCAGCTATCTGTCGCTTGGCCTGTTCCCCCGAGATAAACGTTTCCTTGCCGTTTCTTGAAGCGAGTATTTCCTTGCTGGTCGACTACCATCATGGAGAGCATGAAGGAATAGCTCTCCACGTACGAGAAGGATGGAGACGAGTGGCTTAGATAGTCAGTTAGTGGTCGAAGCAGAGTCCCCGAATACTTACGTTATGTGTGCTGGAGGAACCTGGGGAATCTGGTTCGACTGTGTCACGAACATGGAGCTTGTTCCTGTATAAATCGTGTTGATGCTTGTTGGTGCATTGGTAATATCGAGCTTCAGATAGTCGTACACCTTGAGAATCGTGTTCGCGTAAAAATAATAATCAATATGGACCTGCGATAAACGAATTAGTAGGCAGGGGAAGAAGATCCGGTCCTTACTCACGGGGATCAAGACCAAGACTTTTGTGACGAGGATTTCGACGGAACAGTTCTGATCTGCCCTGCGTGATATATCCTGAATGCTAGGCTGCGTTGAACTGTTCAAGATTCTTTCCTCTACGGCACTGGGAATATAAGTTGCGGCAGTGTTGATTGTTAGCAAGGACAGCAAAGTCAAAACCCAGACACCAAAGATGTCGAGCGGCGCCATTCTGAGCGAAAAGCAAAAGCGAACGAGTGACTGGATAGAGAAACAGACGGCAACAACGTCTAGAGAGAAAACAGACAGGAGCAAGCGAACATGATATGAGAGAATGAATGTCTTCGGCAGGAAAAGCAACAAATGCAATGCGAGGTCTGGAGCCTTGCGGACCGGACAACCTGAAGATGTGCCAAACCAAGAATGAAGTTATGGTCAATGCTGCGGCGGTCATCAATCAAATGAAGCGTGGACGAGTCTTCATCAGATCGTTGCTCCACTGCCGGGCATCGGAAAAGCTGGAATGCTTGTGTTGCGGGAGGAACGCGCAAGGGTCAAGCGGCTCGCGCCACGCACCGAAAGGAGGATGAATCATAGAAAAAGGAGAGGCAGGTTTCTTTCGAGGCCCCGGAGGCAAGATGCGGCATTCCTGTAAGTTCGCAGAATGGCACGAGAGAATAGCTCTGCCTGAGGGAGTAAGGCGGAAGATAGAATAGGAATGAACAAGACTGTGACTGACGGGTTTGCCAAGGTAAAATAATAATGGTCACGCTAGTCCCTAGGAGGCATCAGTCGAAGGCCTCGGACTAGCGCTAGTAGCCCTGCGTAAATTACTCGAAGATATATAGTTAGACAGTCTCTAGGACCTAGGTAGCATTCACTATATTCCTCTATCAGGTTATACCTCTTGTCTACTAGTCCCCCCATTAAAATTGCGCATACTATCTTTGTCACATTTTCGAGTCGCGGCATGGTAAGAGGTACTATGGTTGAAGATACCAATGGAGTCGAATTCCCCGTAACGGCTTGCTATGCCTAAAGGGAAGACAAAGAAAAGAGGCAGACCTCCTAAGTATGCGAGTAAGGAAGAAAAAGCCGAAGTCGATGTTCAGCGGAAACGGGCAAAGCGACAACACGAGGCTTCCGAAAGACGTGCACGATAGCATGATCAGCTTTACATCAATGATCAGAGGCTTCATCCGTGACTCGACTTATCGGCGAGGTAAGGAGCATAGGAATGCTAAGGACCGAGAACAGCCACAAGACTGTTTGAAACTCTTTTCCTTTTCCTTCCCTCTCTTTGACTTCTAGCGGCAATTGCCTTGGTCCTTTTGCCTACGTCGGTCGAATTCCAATTCCCTTGGCCTCCTCGAGATCGCCCGAATATCGCCCGCTTCAACCCTTCGTCCGGCTTTGGTCGCAACAACTAGATTTCTGTGAAGGGAGGCGGCCCAGCTGGTGTAACGCTTGAGAATTCTACTACACATGATCGCAACAAGGTCTTTCTGGGGCTCTAGCCCGGGCGTTTCCTTACTATGGCCACGCCATGATTGGCCGGTCCCTGGCGAACAGAGATGGTAAACCCAGTGCATTCGCGCTCCCGCATAGCTTAGAGCTACTGACATAGCGAAGGCGTGTCGGTCCTCTGCTACTACTACCGATGGATATTGAGATTGTATGTCCTGTAGGCCGTCGACACCGCTGTGTACTGGCTTTGTGTCAGGCATTCGAGGCGATCAGTGGCCATTGCCAAGTTATACCATCTCTACGAGGCACCGAGAGGACAAACTCTCGATCTTCTGGCGCACGCTAGTCGCCCGTCTACTGGCTACTACGAGTAAAAGCTTCGTCAAACCCCCCAGCCCCCAGCCGGGGGAAGGAAAGCAGAGCTGGGGGCAACCCCGCAATCTAAGTCGGTCCTCTCTACTCCTCTGGGTCACAGAAAACAAGGGCCCATGGGCCAGGACATCCCCAGAATCTTCCTCAAAGGTTCATCTTTTTCCCTTGGGTTGATTCCGAGATCTCCGCATTCTTCCAATTTCGACTAGGCATGAGAATTGCTGGACAGTGCCTCGTACAGCTAGCATCAGACAACTCTCGATTCTTCTCTCTCTGGCCAAGTAGAGATACCCAATGTCAGAACCCTCGACGCAGCCTGACCGATCACCGTTTGCATGCAGGTTTTGCAAAAAGTACGTGCCGCTCTCTCATCTGCTCGATCCACTGGCTACGTGGCTGGAGTGGTTGGACTCGCTGATGTGGATCGATCTGTGCCTTGCGCGCTTCTCCCTATTGAACCTCAAGTCCTTCGCGCTCGGTCCACAGAGAGCTAACCCGTCCTCTTAGGCGAAAGGTCAAATGGTACAGTGGACGACCACATCCAGATAGACAGATCCAGCTGATGTGAGATGCGTTCGATGCAGTGATCGCACCCTGCCCAGTTGCTCGATATGCATCAGGACGCAACAAGAATGCGACTATCCATCCGAAGCAGCAAGGCCTGGTCCCAAGCTGGGTATGCCCCGATGCCTCCAACATCCCATTTATTGTGGCGCGTTATACTCACCGATGTAGGCACAACCAGACGAAAACGACCCCGATCCAGCTCCCGGGAGAAGCATCGTGACATGTCTACCAGCACAGATTCTGCCTTGGCCTCTGGCGCAGCAGTTGAGAGCGCAGATAGCAGGACAGAAGTGGAAGCCACTACGAGTCTGGTCTCGAGTGGCAGCGCTGCCAACGGGAGTCCAACTCCCACGTCTGCCAGTTTCAACTCGGGCCCGATTGGTGGCTATCTCCTTACACCAGTTACGACACCCCTCGACGTTCGCACATTGGCCTTCATCATGCACCCCTCCCACGAGACCGCTGTGACCCTCTCTAACATGGAGTTCGTCTCTATCAGCAAGTCGGGCGCCACGCTGGGCAACGTGGACCGGCTCGCCCAAGCATGTGCCTTACTCAAAGTCCCGGCAAATGCTCTTCAGCCATAGTACGTGGTTATGTCTCTTTTCCCTTTCCAATCGTCCTGCATTGGCACGGGGCTGGTGAAAAGCTGACCCTCCGTCGTGTTCAACAGTTTAAATCTCTATTTCGACAACATGACCTCCTTTTCGCTTTTCCACAGGCCCTCTTTTGCCGCCAAGCTGTGCGCCATTGACTCGGTCCAGCAGCTCGCAGCATTGCTGGCGTCGATATTCTCGTTCTCAGCGCGATACATAGTCATCTCTGATCGAGACCCCGCTGACTTGGACGACGGCCTTGGCCCACGATTGCCGCCCAAACATTTCGAGGATATGTCTCAGCGATGCGTGGACCAACTATTGGCCGAGTACTCGGATCGCTCTCCGCCGCTTTGTGTCTTGCAAGCTCTGATCCTCAACACCTTCAGCCAACTGATCAAAGGGGTCCGCGGTGCAGCCTGGCGGCGGCTGGGTATCTGCGTCCGCGTCGCATACGAGCTTGACCTTCATCATGTTGATCGAGATAACACCCCCGAGCAGCAGGATCCAGACATCTGGTACAGCACAGAGGAGTGCCGGCGCGCCTGGTGGGCTATTTGGGAGATGGACAATTTTGCCAGCCTGATCCGGCGCTGCCCAACCGCCGTGGACGGCACCGATAACGAGACACGTTTCCCGGTCGCGGATGAAGAGTGGTTTGCTCGGCGGTTCACCCCCAGTTGCTTTCTCGAGACGAAGCCGATGGAGCGGTTGAAAGCGCTTCAACGATGCGGCACCCAGAGCCCCAAGGCATGGTTTCTCGTGCTGGACTCTCTCATGCGCGAAGGGCATCGACTCTCGAAATTTAGGAGCCCGTGCCCGGGCAAAGGGACACCACCTCCTTCAGCTTGGTCTCGGTCTGGCGAACCGTCAAAGGACAACACTGAGAGTTTGGCAATCCTGGCCAATGCCCTGCGATGCTTCAGCATGGCTCTTCCGAAACAGCTGCGTTACCGGGACGGGTTTCTGTCCTTCGCCGCCAACGATCCAGCGGTGCGGCAGCTACACAGCGCGAAGTATAGCATCCATGTGACCACACAGCTCACCCGCATGATGATCCACCATCAGGACGCGTACCACGGCGCCCAGCAAGATCTACACCTTAACGACCTTCAGGAGGGACCGGATCAAGACTCGGATGCCACGGCGGAGAACGAGTCGCTCAGCCTACGTCTCGGGCCGGCCAGAGAGGGCATGCAGCAGTTCATCGAGGCTGCCGACGAACTGCTCCGCATTGTGTCGTGGAGCTCGGAGGAACACGTCCGCTATGTCAACCCGTTCCTGGCAAGCACCATCTGGTACGGGGCGGTAGTTCACCTTGGCTGGAAAGTGCTAGCTCCACCAAGCACGAACCTCGACTGGGTTGAGTCCAAGTTTACCGTGCTACACATGATCCTGATGGAGTTTTCCGAGTTCTGGGACTTGCCCAAAACACTCCAGGAGAATCTGGCGTCGGTGGAAGGCAAGTTGCACTTGTTCAAAAACCCCAAAGTTCGCCGGCTTTCCCACCCCAATCATTCTACCAACGCGAATAGAGACAGAAACGCAACAAAGGTTACGGCGAGGACGCAGTCAACAGCCGCTAGAGATCTTCAGGCCGGTGGCCAAGTTGCAGCTGCACGATCTACTATGGGTCCCGGCCCCGTCGTTGACACAGACTGCCTCCCACCGGGCGATCAGGATGACGGTCATGTAATGGGCTCTCAGCGGTTCTTGCCGACAGGGCTGAGTATGAATCATGAGGGCGCGGCCATGGCTTCTGATCGCAGTAGTCAGGAAGGTCGCTATGCTTCCATCGACGAGGTTACCGTCCCAACATCGATGGGTGGTGATATTGGAGCCAAGGACTGTGGCGGCAACGATGACCAATACATGTTTGATGAGTCCTGTATGACAAGCACTAACCTGGTGAGTGCTGAAGGGCCCTACGCTGAGCAAGCCACGAGCAACTACCAGTCTCGCGGGCTATGGGATGACTTGGCGTGGGATCTGGATTTTGCGATGGACCCCAGGAGTTTCTTTCGAGGGATTATGGACTATAACAACTAAGCGGACCCGGAACACGTTCTACCAGAGATCAGTTCTTGCCTGATCTATGCTCAGTGAGAATCCGAGTCGAGCCAGGGTGGCCATCTCTAGAGCCAGCAGTGTTTCCTGCAAGCATTTAAGATATCTAACATTACTTTCCCCCGTCACTCCAGACACCACGCCAGCCTGTCCGGAATGCTT